GAGAAAAATTGTGATAGGGCCAGTCCGTTTCTGGACACCTGATAATAGCAAAAAGTTGATTTTAGCATCAAATCGTAGAGCTCCATGTGTAATACAACGTACGAAAATTTTATTAAAATATACAGGGTGGTTTCAAAGTTATAACCCTAAACGTTAATTTCTAGGTACCCCTTTGACCCCCCATAACTCCGTTAGGGGGCACATTAGGAAAATAAATATAGGAAGGACTAGTTTTATTTCGACCACCCCTATACACTCCCGAGAGATTAGGAGGTACTTACCGGACACCCTGTATATTTATTTATTGGAATCGACATTTCAGGAATTCATGATTTTGCCCACGGGAGCCTCTTCCTTCAGGGAAGCTATGAAGATGGGCGCCGAAACTTACCAACACCTGAAGAAAGTCATCAAAGACAAGTTCGGATTAGATGCAACCGCTGTAGGAGATGAGGGTGGTTTCGCACCTAACATCCAAAACAACAAAGAGGCCCTTGGCCTCATCAACGACGCCATCGCCAAAGCCGGATACACCGGAAGGATCGAAATTGGAATGGACGTCGCTGCCTCAGAATTTTACAAAGATGGTAAAGTATTTACATTGATGATAACTTAGATTCCGACTCCGACCATAAGAATATTCCTGATGGATGGGTTTTTTCATTTCTTAATAGTTTTTAAGAACTATTTATTTTTGCTTGGAAGTAGGGTATATCTTATAATATGTGACAAGTCTGTGTAAGTATCTCCATAAGGACATTCATTGAAGTTCATCTGGATCTTGATTTTAACTCTACAAATCCTTAGAACTTCAGGAAAATTCCACAGATAGTAGCACGAAGTGACTGTGCTCGGGAATGTGAAAAACAGATAGGTACCAGCGTATATTCCATGATAATTTTGGTTTTTGAAAAGGGGCGTTTGCGACACTTTAAAGAATTACAATTTAATTTCATGTTCATTATTCTGGTTATATTATGAATTATAATATGTGACTGCAAATTTGCTAGTTATTAAAATAATTCTATTGAAATTTGCCATAGGTCTTTACGACATGGATTTCAAAAATCCCAAATCGGACAAAAAGAACTGGTTAAAATCTGACAAGCTGTTCCAAGTCTACCAAGACTTCATAAAAGACTTCCCAATGGTATCAATAGAGGACCCGTTCGATCAAGATGACTGGGATGCTTGGAGCAACATGTTGTCCAACGTTAACATTCAAATAGTCGGCGATGATCTTACAGTGACTAACCCGAAACGTATTGATATGGCTGTAGAAAAAAAAGCATGTAACTGTTTGCTTCTGAAAGTCAATCAAATTGGTAAGTTTTAACACAATTCAAATATATATAGTTGTTTATTATGTCGACGGNTTACAGTGACTAACCCGAAACGTATTGATATGGCTGTAGAAAAAAAAGCATGTAACTGTTTGCTTCTGAAAGTCAATCAAATTGGTAAGTTTTAACACAATTCAAATATATATAGTTGTTTATTATGTCGACGGACAAATTGGCGCTCAACGTGGGGCAACGGAGTAGTTTCTTTCAACCGCAAAGAAAATGGAAATGTTCATTTCTAAAAGAGAAAATATATAAATATTTTTAAATGTTTTTGGTGAAGGAATTAGTTAATTTAAACAAGGATTTTTTCTTATCTCAATTTACGTGTATGACGTTACTAAGCGAACAATTAGGAAAATCACTAAATGTCTGTTATACTAAAGGATAAGAGAGTTCGTTTTTTTTTTATTTTGAAGGAAATAATTCAAGGATAACGGGAAAAATATAATCTGCCGATTTCCACAAGCCGAAGTAACAAAAATCGTTAATAAAGTTTTGCGCGTGCAGCTGCAGGGAAATACACGTCGTGTTGAAACTCCGTCAGGAAACTCCATGAGGTGATTTTACGGATTAAAATAATAGCAGTATGTAATGAAATTTTTTTTCGGATTGTCAATTGTTTGCAAGTTACAGCTTGTCGAAGTTCATTTTTTTTATTTTTTTATTTAAATAACTTATTTAATTCATGTTCGATTAGTCTCTCATTTGGCACACCCACTAAGTAGATGAAGCTCTATTGGACCAGTCAGAGAAAAGTTTCATTATGCGCCGCTAGAGGGCACTTTACCTAGAATTCAAAATTTGTTTGGTTCATAACTTTTTCTCTTGCTAGACATCACAGAAATTTAAACATTATTGAAAAGAGAAACAATATCAGAAAAAAAGATGTACTTTTGTTCATGCCGATAAATGTAACCGCTTACCAGGAAATCTCTATTAATGTGTTATTAAACATCAAATTTTGATCATTCTTTCTGTAATTATGTACAGGGTGTCCCGAAGTTAATGCAACAAAACTCGGTCACAGATTCTTAAGACAAATTTAGGGGACCCGTATTTTTTATTTTTGCCAAGTGGCCCCCCTCTTTCGGAGTTAGAGCCCCCTGAAGTCCGCCCCTAAGAATAATATTTTTTTAATATCTCTGAAACACTAAATTTGGTACACAGGGGTTTTATGACATGTGGAATATTAATTTTGTAAAGTTATTACCCGTCAGGAAAACGATAAAAAACTAAATATATAGTTTTTTTTAACCTCGACCATATTTTTTTTTACGTCTTAATCATTTGTAATTTTATCAGAGAAAGAGATTACCGAAAGTATATATTATATGTGCTTATATGTATTATAATTAAAAGAAATAGATTTACGTGTGCAGAAAATAAAATAAAAAACTTTTTTTATAAATTTCAACAAAATTTATTATTTGTATGCTATTTTCCGTGCTTTTTATTGGTCACATTCAGTGATTTAAAAAAAAAAACGTCAAACCGTCAGATTAAGAAAACCCCTCCAAATAATCCTCAGATTATGGATCAGCACGACCAGGGCATCAAGCTGAACCGTCTATATGAAAATCTGACGCGCTCGAGTATTTCAAAATGGCGATTTTTTTTGTATTTTCAAAAAGCTGCCACGAGATTTCGTCACATCCGAATCGTCAGTCTTTTGAATAGGAGCTTCGTTCGGGTTCACTTAACATCCCCTCTGAATATCTAACGCGCTCCAGAAATTTTTTTTTCCCCATTTTTAACCTTTCCATATGACCGCCCCCACCATCCAAATCGGCAGATTAACATATCTCCGTTAACGGAGACACGTAGGGCATGTACACTATCGATATCTGACGCGCTCGAGTATTTCCATGTGACTGTTTTTTTTTTACATTTTTGAAAGCCTGTAGGCGCTCCCCCCCACCGGTGAAAGGGTATACATCATATAACCTTTTTTTCTTTCTACCATCTAATCTTCAAAATCCATTCGGTCCCCACGCTCGAGTAAATCCCCGTTTAGCATCGTGGACTCCCCTACTATAATGCGCATGCTCGGGAAGAATATCCTCACACGCAGGTGAGATCTTGTTGATATGTCATCGCTGTCATCATTAGCGTATTTTCTCTTCTTTTTTTAATCTTAGCATTTTCTGTTTCTACTAAATATTTTTTTTTGTTTTTCTTGGTGCTTTGCTGTGTCAGTGTGTTTATCGAGTGTTTTTTCTTCAAGTGGTTTATTATAGATCGTCCTCTTAACCATAACCATAACCTTTTATTGAATATAATCTGTTTCAAGGCTATTTATTTATTCATTTACATGAAATTATCTTTAATGCGCATGCTCAGTATCACTGATATAACTTTAATTTATTAATTACTATAAAAGTCAATATTGTGTTCTATAAATTTATAATGTAAATATATAAATTCTATAACTCTTTTAGTTTGTCACTTTTAGGGTTTGAAACTTAAACTTAAATATTTCTAATACTGCCAGAATATCACGATATTTAAGGTTATGACAAAGAAGAAATTTTTTTGGCACTCATATCGAAAGTACAGTAAGTCGAAAATTGATTTAGAAAAAATACTGAGAAATTATTCATGACAATGTATACTATGGGGTTGCCTATTATTTGGCGTATATGACGTCACTACTAAAAAAAAGTCTATTGCTGACATTGCCCAGAGTTTTAGGGGAAGTTAGGGGAAGTGCCACAACACAGAAATAATTCGTCGTTTAAACTGTTAGAATAGGGCAATAAAAGTAATAAATATTATAAACAATAATGATAAATTTGTAATTAGTCAGATCTGAGACCATCGATCGCAGTGCCCTCTGGATTCTAACGTCAAAATTACAAACTCAATGTCGCGTACGTTCGCGTAACTGTTAATGATTTCTGCACCAGTTCTTAGATAGAATTCTATAAATTCAATGATTTTACGTCTTCCAGTAGAGGTCGCCACGGTCGCTTCAATAATTGAAGGAAACCTTCGGTATAGAAACTAGAAACCTTTTATTGCCAGATTGAGCGATTTGTCATAGATTACACGATTTTTCACGTCTTCCAGTAGAGGTCGCTTCAATAATTGAAGGAAACTTCGCTCTTAGAAACTTTTTATTGCCAGATTGACCGATTTGTCGCAGATTACACGATTTTTCGTAAAAATTTGATAATTTGATAACTAGAAATTTAACACTTTATTGGTTTGATGATATTTGCCAAAATGACTTTTTTAGTGTCATTCTAGAAAATCCAATAAATCCGGGATCGATCCAATAAAACGCACCTAATGATACTGATGAGCGCATGTTGCCACTATAATAAACCAAAATGTCCTAAAAGTTATTTTTGGCGTCATATTTGAAATTTCCGCTTAATGACGTCACAACGCAGATTTCTAGCTTAAATGAGGTCAAAATGAAAACAAAAAATAAAAAATTGTCATTTTTTAAACTATTTTCATTTTGTGTACTAAAAAGTTAGAAAACCTCTAATTATATTGCATATAGTTAAAAAAATTAAGTGAACATTTTGAAATATATTTTTACAGGCACAGTCACTGAGTCTATAAAAGCCCATTCACTGGCTAAATCGAATGGTTGGGGAACGATGGTTTCTCACCGATCAGGCGAAACGGAAGACACCTTTATAGCGGATTTAGTGGTGGGATTATCCACTGGACAAATAAAAACTGGAGCTCCTTGCCGATCTGAACGACTGGCCAAGTACAATCAGATTCTGAGAATTGAGGAGGAGCTTTGCGCACAGGCTCGCTATGCTGGAAAAGCCTTCAGAAAACCATTGTAAAGCTATCTTACCTCGTTTATATCATTTTTGTTCCGCTAAATAAAAGAAACATTTAATTATATGTAAAACTTTATTGTATCAAAAATGGAAACAGTACTTTTATCAGCAACAGATTTATTTAAAATGCTTTGACGTGAGCCCCAGCTCTTATGGTACCCCCAGACAACTTTTTCTGGCACATCTCGTTGGATATTCTAGTTGCCGTTTCTAAGTACTTACTGAAGATTTCTGTGAGTTTTTCACATTCCTAAAATTTTACTTTATATGCTACCACATTCTAACGGACTGAAGCAAAGACTTACCTTGAGATACGGTTTATCAAGAGACTGTGTATTTTGTATCTCTAATTCACGGATCAAATTTCGTATGGCGTAAACCGGAAGGCAAAACGGTAAGGCGGATGGCACTAAAGGCTTGTCGAAACCGTAAAATTCTTTGCCGTAACCTAGAGCGGCGAGCAGGTACTCGTTAACTAATTCGATCGCTTCCTCTAGCCTTCCAGAACTGTGTAGCAGTCTGAGCAGTTCCGGTGCATTTCTGAGCTGTAAAAATAAGACATTCTGTGACGTTATTATTAATTCGTATCATTTCACAAGCTAGTTCTTACCTTGTAAGACGCTAGAAGCCATTGCGGTACATAAATCCTCATCTGAATTATTTTTTTACAAACCACGTAATGTAACGTAGTCATATTCGGTTCTTCATATTTTTCTAAATATTCCTGCAACAACTGCCACACAACGTCAGCGGCGCTGTCTCTATTAACAGGAAGGTCTGAAATAGGAAAAAAATAAACGATCCCTAATAATTAACTGGTACGTTCGACCTACCTTGTAAGTCATTTTCGACCAACCAATTCCACGCGCTAGGATGCTCTTGTTCGGTAAGTAAAATGCAATGTTTTGTGAGCGTTTCGAAGATGCTGTTGTAAGGCAAATTGAAAGTGGTGCAGATATCTAGCGATGTTTTGAACAAACCGGAGTTGTTGAGGAGTGTCACCAGTTCCACAGGCGCTACAATTTTTTTAAATTAAAGTCATCAGATTCTCGTAAACGTCTAAGGATATCTTACATGTTATATTCGTCGGAGAAGTTGCGTCAAATCGGGCCAATTTTAGTTTGGCGGAAGCAAAAACGAGGTCCTTTCGGATCGTATTTATATTTATGACCTCCACCTGTTTTCGTAATCTTAAAACTTGAAGTTCCTTAAAAAAATAAATAGAAGCTACAGCATTGAAATAATAAATACATTTCTAGGATGTATCCCACTTCTGCTATGAGATATATAAACAACTTCACGTTCTTCATCTTTGGAATTTCAGTAATACCAACAATTGATTACTGTTAGTTTGACTAAACAATGGTACCTACAACTATTTTTGTACTGAACCAAATTTAGTACAACTGGGCCTTATCAGTTTTGCCTATTACCTTTTTTACTGAACTATATAAAACTAATAGAGTGGCAGAGAGTGAAACTGCCAATGAAAATAATTTTATAAAAAAACATATTGCGTTTGTATGCCTTTGTGACATGTTCTTTTAAAGCCACCATATTTTTTTGTCTATGCAGATGAAGTACATAAATATTTTTTTCTAGTGTTGTTACTATATACTTTTTAAAACAAAGATTTATCAATAACCTCTGACTGTGAACTAATTTAGATGAATTACATTATTAATCCACCTGATGTGATATGACAAAAGGGTACTAGACATGCAATAAACGCCCAATATTAATTTTGTGAAATGAGAATTACTGAATATGTCACTATTTCATTTTATAAAATTTTGGTTTGCTGTTTATTGGTTTATAAAAATGTTTAACAATACGGTAAATAATTTCGCAACTTTCTACAAGAAGCATGTTTTAACTGAAATCGAAATAGAATTTGTATAGTGCAGTGTTGTTTTATCAAGTTTAATTTTAAAGTAGTATTTAATGAAACGTTTTGTGACTCTACTGAAGTGTGTGTGAAAGTTATTTATTTTAGTGTTTTGTGATGATATGATGTGTTTGTGTGTCTTCATTGTTAAATGTATGTGATATTCTGAAAAAAACATGGATATAAATATAAAGATGAGATGCATGTCATAGTTTCAAACTGGGCATGCACTTGTGGCAAGTGAGGTATAAAAATTGGTAAATTGAGAAAAATAAACTTTGGAAAAAAATTAAAGGAGCGAAAAAATGTCTAAATTTTTTTATTGATTTTTTCTTTGTGTATAATGGTCGTATTGAGAAAAAAAAGCATCTTGAAGCTTGCAGATTTTAGTTCTGAAATCTTGATGAAAAATTTTTTTGAATATCACTCATGGTCATGGGCTCAGCAAATTTTTTTCTGGCTTAACAATGCCGGGGTCATTTATCCTGTTTTATTAGCCTTAATTTGTTTTCTTTTTTCTGTACGATTATTTCTCATTGAGATATCGGCTATTGAGTGAAGAGTCCCTTTTTTTCTTGATCATCGATATCTCATGGACGAATGATCGTACAGCGAATGAAAGGTGGGTTTTAGAGACCTGAATCAATCCTCTTCAAGAGCCTTTTGGTAGGTTTGATAATTTTTTTTATACTCGGTATTAATTTCAAAAGGTGTAAAAAAAATACTTTTTTTGCTGTTTTTGGAAAATCAACGACTACTTTGCAAATTTTGTGAAAAGTACCAATGTTTGTAGGTTATTTTTTAAATCAATACATCACTATGAGAGCTGTAAATTCTGAATTCAATCGGTCGAACTGTTTCCCTTTCCTGAATCATCAAAGTTTTACAAAAAATTAAAGGAGGTTTATTGCTCCTTGAACATGGAGCACATGGAACAATTTTTTCTCGACATTTGAAGTATTCAATGTAAAATTGTAAAAAAGAGGACGCAAAAAAATTTTAAAAAATTTTGAAAAATTTGACTTAATTTTGTTTTTTTTTTCTTTATTTGATGAGTATTTAAGACGAAATTGTAAGAAAAATAACCCAAAAATTGGCGGATCTGTTTTGAGGTCAAATCTAATTATGTATTTAAAAATTAAAAAAAGTGTTAACTTTAAAAATTTAGTGTGGCCGTCCTAATCAAACGATTTCAATTTTTCAAAAACCATTTGAAAGGTTGAGCTGTCTTTTCTATGTGAAAAAATTTTCAAGTATCTAGATGCTTTATTTGAGGCTGTGCAACATTTTGAAAATTCGAAAAAAATTAAAAAAAAAATTATTTTGTGAAAACTATTGAACCGATTTTAATGAAATTTGGTGTGTTGTTTTATTATACTATAAAGTTTTTTTACCAAAATTAGAATGCCCTCGAAGCAATTAAGATAATTGTAAAAAATTATCCAAGGAACTTGATTTTTTTGCCTTTTTTTCATCAATTATTGCTATTTTGTAATATCGGTAATAAATTTAAACATTTTTAATTTACAGCATATTGTGCAAAATTCAATTCTAAAACTTTTTTCCTTTTCAATATTCTTCCAAAATGCATAGGTTCCAAGATATAAGTAAAAAACTCAAATAAAATAGGTATTTTTAAAAAATTTTTAAAGATATTTGCAATTTTGAAAATGTTCCGGACCTTGCCCAGATCTAGGGATCTACACTTTTATTATGTGAGTTGTACTGAAGGTATTCCAGCAAAAATTAGTTTGCCCCCTCTTACATCCAAGTGGGATATTTCGACAAATCCGCCTTGGTCTAGAAAGGAAAACGGTTCGACCGATCGAATTCAAAATTTACAGGTCTCAGAGGCATGTACTAAACTAAAAAAAACCTACAAACCTTGGTACTTCTTGCAATATTTGCAAAGTAGTCGTTGATTTTCCAAAACAGCAGAAAAAGTTATAGTATACAGGCCCACATACAAAGAAAAAAATGATTACCAGCAAGCTGTAACTTTGCGTGCAGCTTAAGTTTGACGAGTCTCCCAAGATTTGACTACTAGGAAAATTCAACAGTGGTAAGTTTTCCCGAGATTTTCAGGAAAACATGTCAATCTGGCATAGACATGGAATGTTATGACCAGCACTTTTTTTTAGTTTAAATGAAAGATATATTCTTTTTAAACCACCCCAAAAAATTTGTCCGACAAAAATGTTGGGTATTTTGAGTTTGTCCACCACCCCAAATATGTCGATTTGGTGACATTGTGGTTGGTGACAACCAGCAAGCTGATTTTTCTGGAAGGGTTTGGTAACAAGATTTGAAATGAAAGTATCTTATTGTCCGACGCCCCGAAGATGTCGATTTAACGACAACATGGTGATAACCAGCTGTCGGACATAAGCCTATATCAGTCTTACTGACAGAATTTGAGAAAACAAACATAATATAAATAGTAGCTTTGTTGAAAATTACGTCCCTCATAAAACCTATAATATCCCACTTCTGATATCATGGTAGAGTATTTTGGTAATTTTTAAGTGAATAATTTTAAAACAATTGAATATTCAATCTATTTCGTGTAATATACTGAAGAAACAAACATTTTTACGTAGTAAATTCAACATAAAAAGTGGGTACTACCTTATTTGATCCGGCGACAGGTTCCAAGACGACTTCCTCCACTTCCTCCTCGGGATCCGCAGGCCTAACGACCCAAGCAAACTCAGGCTTGCACAGCTGCAAAACGTTTTTGGCCGCCAGGTAACATTTCACTTGTTTCTCTAATGCGTCCGCTGTATTGAGGTGCAACAATCGAAAGGCTTGTTCGTACATCACCGAAGCGGCTGTAATTTGAAATATAGTAAGTCGATTTTCAGATTTTATACGATTTGTCATACCCAGCCTGTGTGAAAGAGGTCCTCTCTTAATCTGATAAGAATACAGGAAATCGTAGAAGACATTATTAACACCATCGGTAGCCCGAGCTCTCGTCAGTAATATGTTCGTGAAGAATTCGTCCATACTCCCGTAAGTGAAATTTAATAGGATGTCTAGTTTTTTTTCATCTAACAAAGTTTTTACGAGGTCTCTTAGATTGTCTTTCTTGCGTTCGGCGTCTGGGTTGGAATTTAGCGATTCGAACGCCAATTTATAGTGTTTCAGAGCAAGGTGGTGCTTGAATTTGATTGAATATAATGTAGCCTGAAAGAAAGGATATAAATAACAAATTAGCTATAAAGAAAGAGCCATACCGAGAGAGGATTATCAGGTTCAACAATGCTTAGTGCCGTATTGGCCATATTTATAGCGCAATCTCTCGCTTTGTGCAGTTCCAACAATTGAATAACCTAAAAATAAACGGTTACGATTATGATTCGCTATCGGAAATCGATCTAGTCTACCTTTAAGTAATAGTTTATGTAGGCTTTAGTGGGATTATCTTCCGAGGTTCTCAGTATTCTCTGCTCCAAAAACGAGTCGCTAAAGATTCCTTTCGCAGCTGCTTGGAACAACTCCTGCGCTTTGTAGTTCTCTCCGCTGGTCAAGAATGACGCCGCTAGCAGGAAACTTCCTAAAAAAATTTACTCGCTGTCTTTGCCACTTGTTACACATAAACTGGAAACTTACTTGTACAGCTGTTCCACTCGCACCAGTTGCTCAAAAGTCGCACGTACTGTTGCAGCCACAAGTGCTGACCGCTGCTTAATAACCACTCCGCTAGAACGGTACCTCCGCTAATCGGCCATCTTTATTGTTAAAAGTTAAGGAACATGAATAGAATACGTTTAAAAAATTGTAAACTGATTAAAATGAAGGATACATGATATGCCTCAGGTGATTGAGGTATGGCAACAGCGATAAATGCCAGTGCGCTAACGCTTCGTCGCTACAAGTCACCCTAGCAAATGATTTCCTCGCTTCTTCCCCACCACTTGATGCGGTGAAAAGTTCCAGTAATGATACACAAGTGGTGGAAAATCGCAGATTAAAAACTGGTGTTAATTTTATTGGGGTCAATCGCTGGATACTGGATTCGCTAAAAAGAGATTTAGTAATTAGCTATTAATTTCTTAACAAATCTCTGGAAATCCACCGTTGGGTTACACAGGGTGTAACTTTAAGAGGGCGTCGGTTTTTTAGTTTGTACTCACTGCGGTAAGTTTACTAAGGCTGGCAAACCGCTCAGCCAAAGCATGATGTAACTTGCTTGTGTCAAAACCACTATTTCTGGCGTACACACAGAACGAATAGCTTCCAGTACACCCCATTCCTTCTCCTTATTTTTTAAAAGTATGTTACAAATGAGAAGGAGGTTTCGGCAAATTTGGAACCTAAAATAAAGAAATCAACCATAAAACAATTTCGTTCACATGAAAATAAAAATATATATGAAGTAAACTTTACATAATTTTTACTTATCCCGCACCTGATTTGAGCCTGCTGTCTTAGACATGCCGCTACGACGGATACTCCCAATTGGGAGCTAAAATGATACATAGCAGATGGATTGATCTCGTTATCCGGGTTTGCCAAAGTGTTCTCGTATCTTAGCAGTTCTAGAACTTTATGAATTGCTTTATATAGATCAAAGACTTGACTTAACATGCTGGACACCTGCGTAGTAAACTGAAAAAAGTAGTTGTCAAGGAATTCAAATACACATCCTTTCAATCGACGTGTATCGATCTTTACCTGACTGTCCATTTCGGACTGTATTTTCTCCAGTAAACTTTCCATTACAACGTCCGGCACTTGTAAGTTAAACAATTCTTTTTCAAACGTCTGTGAAAATATTTCACTCATCTGCTGTTCTAAATAAACGATCGTTTCAAATAAGTTCATTACGTCCCCAGTTGTTTCCATGTCTAGTACAGAAAAATAATTGACACTCAGTCCTCCTTGATTAATTTTTGGATGGAGTTAAGACATTATTAAGGACAATGTGAAACTAGAGCCTGACTTAAAAAAATCTACTTTTTTAATTATATTTTGTTTGCAATTTCCCAAAAATTGACATAGTCACTACATTTCAAACTGTAGATACAAAATCGTCTGTAGTAGCGTTTATTTTATTTACAGTTCCTAGAAATTTAACATGGTAATAACACTACAATCTAATATAGGTATCTAAAATGGTTTGTAGTTAATCTACAGGGTGTCCCGCCGGAAACTGCGTCGATCGATATCTAGGAAAGTACTGCTTCGAAAAATTTGAAAATTTGGCAACATGGCAATGCCCCTGCGGCGAACACAACTAAAATATCTAGAACTCTCCAGCACTTCCTGTTATACTGGAAGGCGAAACCAACTCCGTTATTTTAAATGGGACACCCTGTATATTACTGCAGTTTCGGATTCTATGTGAAATTTGAGGGTCACTTTATTATTTATTAATATTCCCTATACCTAGGAACAGATTTTGAGATATTAATATATATATTTTTTAATTTGACAGGAGCATGATGTCAAGGGGATTTTTGGAACCTGTAAAGGGCAGTAGCAAACACTACATTGTGGTATACCAACAAATTAAAATATTTAATACTAGATGTTCCATTTTTGCTGTTACATTTTGATAACTCCAAACAGCTATATACATATAATTTTGTTAACTTAAATGGAACACCCTATATTTTTTTACTCTGTCGTATGCAGATTGAAATTTCCTTTCAAGCCATATAATCATTGTTAGGGTTGCAGTTGCCCTATATTTGCAATTTTCTATTTTTTGGACAGTTTTCTCGTATCAGCTTGCTGTCAAATTGGCCATGACCAGAAACATTCCAAAAACAATTGAAATAACATGACATTTGTCAAATTAGTTGTCAAATTTTATGTCTGAATAGTTTTTTCCGAAAATTTAAATAAACATGCCTGGGGATTGTTTAAATTATACTAATGGGGATTATTTTAATTTGTTTGTTATTTATGGAAAGAAAATGTGACAAAGTAATTTCAACAACATGTAGAAAATCTGCTGCTTTTTTCCATAAATAACAAACAAATTAAAATAATCCTCATAAGTATAATTTAAACGATCCTCAGGCATTTTTATTTAAATTTTCGGCAAAATGTATTCAGACTTAAGAATAATTTGACAACTAATTTGACAAATGTCAAGTTAATTTAATTGTTTTGGAGTGTTTCTGGTCATGGCCAATTTGACAACAGGTCTGATACGAGAAAAAGTGTCCAAGAAGTAGAAAAAAGTAGAAAATATCTAAAAATATCTCTAAAAGTAGTAACGGCAACACTAACAATGCTTATATGGTTTGAAATGAAAATTTAAATTTGCATACGACAGAGTACAAAAATACAGGGTGTTTCATTTAAGTCAGCAAAGCTATAGCTGTTTGAAGTTATGAAAATGTAACAGCAAAAATGAAACACCTAGTATTAAATGTTTTAATTTATTGGTATACCATATGAATGATTATGGTGTATTTTATAATTACTTGGGATAGCTCCAGCTAAATGGAGCTGTGCACGTAACGTTCTTGAAGTTAAATTTGAAAAGTGACTTGCGACTTACCGATTTTCCGGGGTCTTCCCTGTTGCAGAGGGCCCTCAGTCTTCAGTCCGGAGTGGAAATGGGNTAACGTTCTTTTTATCTACAGTTCCTAGAAATTTAACATAGTAATAACACTATAATCTAACATAGGTATCTAAAATGGTTTGTAGTTAATCTACAGAGTGTCCTACCGGGAACTAAGTCGATCGATATCCAGGAAAGTACTGCTCCGAAAAATTTACACATTATTTATACATTATGGTATACCAACAAACTAAAACATTTAATACTAGGTTTTCATTTTTGCTGTTACATTTTGATAACTTCAAACAGCTATAACTTTGTTAATTTAAATGGAACACCCTGTATTTTTTTACTCTGTCGTATGCAGATTGCAATTTCCTTTCAAGCCATATAAGCATTGTTAGGGTTGCCGTTACTACTTTTAGAGATGTTTGCAATTTTATATATTTTGGACAGTTTTTCTCGTATCAAACCTGTTGTCAAATTGGCCATGACCAGAAACACTCCAAAAACAATTGAAATAACATGACATTTATCAAGTTAGTTGTCAAATTATTGTTATATCTGTAATAGTTTTTGCCGAAAATTTAAATAAAAATGCCTGGGGATCGTTTAAATTATACTAACGGGGATTATTTTAATTTGTTTGTTATTTATGGAAAGAAAATGTGACAAAGTAATTTCAACAACATGTAGAGAATCTGCTGCTTTTTTTCATAAATAACAAACAAATTAAAATAATCCTCATGAGTATAATTTAAACGATCCTCAGGCATTTTTATTTAAATTTTCGGCAAAACGTATTCAGACTTAAGAATAATTTGACAACTAATTTGACAAATGTCAAGTTAATTTAATTGTTTTGGAGTGTTTCTGGTCATGGAAATTTGACAACAGGTCTGATACGAGAAAAAGTGTCCAAAAAGTAGAAAAAAGTAGAAAATATCTAAAAATATCTCTAAAAGTAGTAACGGCAACACTAACAATGCTTATATAGTTTGAAATGAAAATTTAAATCTGCATACGACAGAGTACAAAAATACAGGGTGTTTCATTTAAGTTAGCAAAGCTATAGCTGTTTGAAGTTATGAAAATGTAACAGCAAAAATGAAACACCTAGTATTAAATGTTTTAATTTATTGGTATACAATAATTTAGCGTTACGTATGCCCTTTACAGGTACCAAAAATCAACTTGATATCACGATCCTGAAAAGAGTTACTAGCATCTCCGCAAACTCTTGCATCTGTCAAATTTTTTCTTAAAAAATTAATATCTCAAAATCTATAACTCCTAGACTCCTAGGTATACGAAATATTTAATAGTGACCTTCACATTTCACGTAGAATCCAAAAATGCAATAATATATAGGGTGTCCCATTTAAAATAACGAAGTTGGTGTCGACTTCCAGTATAACCGGAAGTGCTGGAAAGATTTAGATATTTTAGTTGTGGTCGCCCTAGGGACATTGCCATGTTGCCAAATTTTCAAATTTTTCGGAGCAGTACTTTCCTAGATATCGATTGACGCAGTTCCCGGTTTTAATTCTAAAATCGTTTGTAGTAGAGTATATTTCCTTTGCAGTTCCTCAAAAACTGATGGAAAATTACTATACTCCTTTCCTTCTAGTTATTTGTACCAAAGTATATTTTGTTTGTAAACCATTATTTGTAGTTATTTTGTTTATTTCAGTTTTTTTGTTTATTTTGTTTGTAAACCGTTTGTAGTTATTTGTATTTAAAAAAGCCAACAGAGTCACTATACTCCAAACTCTGGTTATAAATTCGTTTGTAGTTCTGTAGTTGCATACTACAAACAACTGCAACCGATTTAGATCCACCGCTTGTGTAGTACAGTGACCCTACGATAAATTGTGATGGTTCCACCGCTTGAAGTATGAGATTCGGAGAAATTACAAATGAAATGTATAACAGTGGCCTATTTACTTGCTGGCTGCCAGTTACAGACTCACAATGCACTTCCATAACCAGGAACCTTTCACTTGTTCTTGTCATTCTCGGGCTAGGCTATATGGAGGCAAACCCACTATCAAAGTCCCTAGACCACCACTATGATGTTTATTACAGATTTAATTGTTGGATTCAAGGGCAATATAGAACACCTCAGAGTACTATTGTCTGAGAAGCGGTTCCTTCCATATTGGCTTTAGAAGCCGTGATAAGAATTGAAATGAACATCAGGGCTGGCCTAAGGGTTCTAATAGCAGATCTGCCCCCACAGACCCTAGACTGAGAACAACAAGGGCAGGTCAAAGATTCCTAGCTAAGACTAAGAAAGCGAAAGGTAATTCTGTAACTCGAGGTGACCAGGTACATAGGCCATAACGTAATAACCCAAAAAAATTACTAGTTTAAATTTTGAGGAACTACAAACAAAACGAGCATAACTGCAAACAACAATAAACATTTTTATATCTACAGCTTGGATTAATAATAATACTCGTACATTTTAAATTGGAAGTGTTTTATAAAATTTATTTCCGACAATATGTTGCAAATTTTAAAAATAACTTTCTTAATCAACTAGAAACGAGTTTCTATTGAAATTAACTGAAGATTTGAATCAAATTCGGTGGATGGGATTTTTTAAGTTCCGAACTATATCTTTTTTGAGAATTGGAAAAAATTACAAACAACTATCTATCACAATTTATGCAAAAAACAAAAAAAAAATTGAATTTTAAAAGTAGGGTGCCAGGTTCATATTGCCATCGTCAAAATGTTAAAAATAACAGTGTGAAAATCGTAAATACCTTCAGCTAACATAGAAAAATTAACAAACTGATCCTTATACATGTAATCGCTGCACAGCATCATGTGCTCCAAGGGATCTAAAGGCCTCAAAAACGAAAAAGTAGATTTTTTTAAAAACACAGCTCCGGAAACGGAGGGCAATAACATCAACCCGAGAGGTTTCAAGCTTGCTATGTGATACTGAACACAACAAGAATAAAATTTCTGCCAACACCTAAAAATACGTATGCGTTGGAATTATTACTTATTGGGAAATTATCTGAATTTACCATTCCGCACACTCTAAGTATTCGTCATCATTTATATCGCTTCCGTTCAGAGTGTTCTGAATTTCGTTTTCAACTGCCATGCAAATCCTTTGCTTCAGGCCCGAAGCAGTTGCATGAGTGTCGGTGAGAATGGTAGATCTCTTGTATATCTTAAAAATAATGGTGTTATAGTCACTAACTATTTGTTACAGCTTTTTATTAGGTTTTTTTTATTTAATTGGAATATTGAAAAGAAAAGAAAATTTTAATTAAATATCACTTCAGCGTATTAAAAATTAATTACCCCATCGGACTTACCGTCATTCAGTATTTTTGTCAAGAAATTTTTATTAAAGTTTTAACAATTAAAACAGAGGTTTTCGAAACATCAACTTCAACATATAGAATTCAAAATGTAATTATCTACTTTTTCCATATTTTTTAATATAGAAATTAAATTAATCTTCAGAAAGGACAAAGTCAAATTATTTAAAAGAAAGAGTAATTACTAATCTACCATATTTCAAAATTTTAAGCAAAAACTCACCGACAAAGCCTTACTGATAATGTGTAGGGGAAATTTCCCTGGACTGAAGATATGCTGCAAATAAACTTGGCGAGGATCGCTCTCTCCGTCAGTCGTAGGGGCCTGATTAGCGTCAGGAAGTGTTTCTAAAATCACCGGTGTCCAGCTATTTGACTTAAACGTGTCGGACTGTAACGAAGCAGTGTAAACTAAACATTCGCCATCCTCACACCTCCACGCTGACCACAGACGGTTCGTTTGTAGCGCAAAATCGATCAAATCATTCTAAAAATCACGAAAACGTATGAAATTTTTTGTTCATATTGAAATAATGTAATTACCTCGAGAGAGTGCAAAGTATTGAGTCGTACGATTCTTATTTGCTGTCCGCTGATGAAGGGTTTCAGTATATGAAATTGACAACCTGAAGCGAAACTCATAAAGACCGCTAATATGCTTTCCGCACTGGTTTCATCTACTGATTTTCTCAAAACAGCTGTGAAAAAAAATTAAGCAAGAGGTAGGGTCACCATGCCAGTATTTGACCACTCAGTTGATTTTTTTACTTTAGACCTTTCATTTTTAAATCGCTAAATATAAAAATAAATTTACTTTTATGATCTCAAAAGTTTTTTTATCAAAGAATAATTGAAAACTAATATTTTTTCTGTTTCCAACAAACAATTGAAAATAGAATCATAATGATAAGTAGAAAAAGGGCTTTTTGGTAATATTAGACATTTACGATACAATTTAAACCTATTTAAGAATAGTACAACTAATGGTTTTTATCATGTATCACGACTTGTCATTGTGGTTGTCTACGGAACTGAAAGACATGTGAGAATTATGAGAAGAATAATTATTAATGCTTTCTTATTTCTATTCAAGTTTCATTATTCTACTACTAGTCGAAAAGCAGTATTTGTTGGATAACCGGCGCAATAACCCCCAATAATTAAGAATGATATATAAGTAATTAGTTTTCCTACCTCCTTGTACCCGATCTTTGGCAATATCTCCCGTTTCAGCCAATATATCGATAACAGCAACACACTGCCCCTTGGAACAGGACCAGAATTTGAGATGCCCGTTTCTGCACAAACTTAATATGTACGTTTCACCATCGATGATAAGAATCGACAAGCTTACTACATTATCACCATCCAAATTCTTTTGACTAAAAAAATAATAATTTTTATCCACCTTATAGCAACACGAAGCAAAGTGTAGTGTAAAATTTCAGAAGTAGAACATTTGACGTATGCAATTCATAATCTTACCGAAACTTCTCAGCTAATCCCGTCAAAAATCTAGGCATCAAAGAGTCTCCTTTTAGCTCTGTTGAAACAGCCTGTCCCTCTGAACTTTGTTTTATGAGTAACAACTCAGTGGAAGGATAAGCTAAAGCAAAAATTGCCTCTTCGGTATCAGGTAGTAAGTATGAACAAGCCAAATTAGGCAGCTGATCATCTAAAAAATTATTTCAGTAAGTCATGTATTATGAATAAGGTAATAACGTACTGGCAGTGCTTGGATTATTAAAAACATAAAATGTATTTGAATTTCTGGCATCCGAAGCGGAGGCCTTGCAGAATATCGATGGAGCAGGAAGTTCAGGATGGGTGCCCAATAAATCGTCCTACAATGCATTTTAGTTTAATTTAATTAATTAAAAATTCAGCTCTTACCTGTCTATGAAATCGGTCGGGATGAGGAAATATTAAACGATGAACGCTACATACAGTCGGTACTAAAACGATAACATTTTCATATGTTTCATGCACTGATATACCGTCTAAAATTGGAGTGTCGATAAATCTGTATCTCACACGATTCCCTGTCAAATTTACATCCAAACTGTGTTCTACAAGCTCCAACACATCGTAATTTATCCTCCTATGACAATATTACAAAATTAATCGCTGCTTTACATGTTAGTACGATTATTTACCAATATATAAACCTATTTCTTGTATGGTGCTTGGTTGAATCTTCATAACAAAATCCATTTGCTCTTTCGGCTACTTTTATATCCTGTAATGTGCTTTGGGTACCCCCTACGGCCAACGGAGAATAGTTCTTAATTAAGAAAAAAAGTGTTTAATTACCTGTAGAAAGAGTAATTTCTCTCCAGTTTTCCAGCAGTGTTTGATCTGATATAACTTCTCGGTAGCTTAATGTAAACGCAGTCATTTTATAATTTAAAAATACACCGCTCTATTTACAAATCCATTGATAACCTAACCTTAAATGTTGAAAAGATAACCGACCGCCTAAAGTTTTAGGGGGATCTAGGGCTTTTATATGTCAACATCATAGATAAAAGAGTCAACATTTTGAAAGAAAGGAGAAGAAAAGGAACTAAGTTTACGTTTACGGTGGTAAAGTTGGCAAGCCTTTAAGGAGTCAGCAAAATTGCAAAATCAAAATTGACAATTGACATTATTAGATTAAGCACCAAATTGAATATATTGTTGAGCGTTGATCGGTGATTTTATAAATAGTAAAGCCAAAAATGTCGAAAGAATTTAAGTTAAGTACGTGTCTTTATGGTCATTCGATGGACATAAGATCCGTAACAGTTTCGTCAAATAATGATATCATTAGTGGCTCAAGAGATAGAACTGCTAAATACTGGAAATATAACCCGTAAGTAATTTTTTTCCCTAGCAAAAAAGCTTTAACAAGATGATTTCATTTCAGCTTACAAAATATATATTGTGAGGTAATGACATACAAGAATCATGAAAACTTTGTAGGCAGTGTTTTATACTTGGAAGCAAACAAAGATTTTCCTGACGGCTTGGTCATTACTGGGGGTTATGATAATGTGATATTTGTATACAAACCCGGAGAACCTTTTCCTACATATACATTTAAAGGAGAACATACTAATACAAGTTAGTAAAAAAAATATTCTTATTTGATATAAGTATATATTTTTCTTAGTTTCTAGTCTTTCCAAGGGTCGAGAGGTGAATTCATTTTTTAGTGCATCATGGGACATGACCGCAAGATATTGGCTTATAAGCAATTCTACCACTAAGTCTATCGTTACATTTTCTGGTCACGAAGCAGCTGTTTGGAATGTTAAACAGTTAAGTGATGGTCGGGTTGTGACGGCTTCTGCAGATAAAACTATCGGTGTGTGGGCTTCTAATGGCCAAAGATTAAGCACACTCAAAGGTGAAATAATTTTTCTCTAAAAAAAATATGGCTGAAGGTTGATATTTTTTAGGTCATACCGATGCAGTAAGATGTTTAGAAGACTTTCCTGAATTAAATTACTTTATAAGCGTAGCAAATGATGCTTCGATAAAGGTTTGGTCTTACTTAGGAGAGAATACGAATACATATTATGGTCATACAAATTATATTTACAGGTAATGTTTTAATAGTTTAAAATGATTTTTTTTATAGGAAGTTAAATATTTTTAATTTTTCTTATTTTATAGTATCGCCAGATGTAAATCTCACGGAGATAATGCTTTTGTAACATCAGACGAAGATAGAACGGTACGTTTTTGGAAAAACGGTGTTAATACTCAAACTATCGAACTGCCGGCTCAGTCGATATGGACAGTGGCGTGTTTACCAAATGGCGACATCGTTACGGGATCAAGGTAAAATCTCTTAAAATTGTAAATCTAAAAACATTCTTATAAAAATTATTGTTAGTGATGGAGTTATAAGAATATTTACTCAAAACGAGGAAAGGGTGGCAGACGAAGCGACCTTGACGAAGTTCAATGAAGAAGTTAACGCTCTGAAGAGACAAAATTTGCAAGAAATCGGTGGTGTAAAAGTTTCTGAGTAAGAAGTACATAAAAAAAGTGCTTTCGAAAGTTAATCAATATTTTTAGTTTACCTGGTAAGGAGGCGCTATATGATCCTGGCAAACGGAGTGGACAAATGAAAATGATCCGTGAAGGCAAATTAGTGATAGCGTACACTTGGGTCGACGATGGTGAGAACAGTCATTGGGAAAAAGTTGGCGAGGTCATGGGTGGTACGGATAAGGACGATAGTGGAAAAACTGTCTACGAGGGAAAGGTAATAATTTCTAGATATTTTAACCAATTCAAACAGGGTGTAACTTTGAGTGGGGTTCATATTTTTACAGCGGCATCCTTTGAAACTCATATCAATAGTTTATTTTTTCAAATTCGGTCGTAAAAACTTTTAACCTTACTTTATAATTTTCATACGCCGCTGCTGGACAAGCTAGTGTAACCTCCAATAATGGCGCGTTTTAGTCGCACCACATGCACAATTTCACACCACTTGCCGCGAGTTACTCTTGTTGAGTGGGTGAGTTGAATGATAAACAAAATACACAAAAATAAATTTACTCACTTGATTTTTATATCAGTTCCCTGAATTTGTTCCCGTACAATATTAGCAAATTGGCTTCAAAGCTCGCATAATCTTTCTGTTTAAATATTACTTCTGACCGTCGACAGTGGCCGTGAAATAAAATGGCTAACTATACCTTGCAGGTCTCTCAGTTCTTACAGACACTTGAGCCTGCTACAGACCTGGAGATTTGTATCGAGATAGTATTGCGACACTATATCGTGGGGCTTGTCTCAGGTCGATACATACACTGTGATATGTATCATGAACAAGTACAAAGTTGCTGCACCAAGATGCTTCCTCCACGAAAAGAAATATTGACCATTATTATTATTGACGTTTGTTTAATTAAGAAGAAAAGGTGAAAAATTTGCTGCAATAAGTGGTTAATGGAAAAGGGAAAATGTCTCGTCGTCGGCAGGATACCAAGACCTTCTTTGAGAGCATGAAACCATATGAAGCAGTCCTCCAGACGGTGACATAAGCCTCATGATACTGTCTCTTGATACAAATCTCCTAGTCTGTAGCAGGCTTTAATATACCACCTTCGTCCTCGCTTTCCTCTGAATAATGGTCGCTAATTAGACAACAGACCTGCACCACCGCAACCTGTTGGCTTCCAGCGATGAAAAACATTCAAATTCACAGTTAAATGTCTGTCTTTACATGCGGAACAACTGACCCCTTTCACTTCATTACCGTTAACTCGCACTATCTCCCTTCACATGCGCTGTAGATTGCCTACAATTCATGTATTTGTAATACATGAATATTACAGTGGCTGACCCCCACCTAAAGTTACACCCTGGATAGTGAAGTTAATTTGCAATGCTCGTTATATTGTAAATAATGTAAACATTCCGTAGAATTCAATGAACTACTTTACCCCACCTGAATTTTTGGGCTTCATTTCCAAACTGGCACCCAAAGTTTGCAAAAAACAGTTTATTTCATTTATAAAAAAAAATAAACAATTTAGAAAAAAATGTTTCAAACAAGTTATAGGAATTTTTAATACCGGTCGAATAAGCCTAAACCGGTTTTGATCGATAAATAAATTAATTAGTTATTGCATAAAAACTGCTAAAAATCTTTCAATAAAAAAAATATTTTTTTATGAAACTTGGTGAAAGGATAGCTCTTGGTAAGCAAAATAAAATGATTTTTTCAAAATTGAAAAATATTTTATAGTTCTTGCAAAAATGGAGTTTTTTTTAAAAAAAAGCATTTTTGTAAAATCCCCATAATTCATAGGCCGCCACATCTTTAGGAACGGGGTTGGGTTTAAAATTTTCTTTAATAATTGCACTATTATGTGCAAATATTGCTCGAGCCCCAAATCGATTTCAAATATCGCAAAAAACAATCTAAAAATTGTTTTTTTTCGGACCCATAAAACTTTGATTAACTTTTTGATTTCAATTCTTATCAAAATGTCGATAATGCCATTCGAAAGTTGACATTTTCTCACGGATTTTAAAAAAAAGTTTGTCCTACAACCAATAGGTGCCGAGAAAAATTGTTTTTTATTTCAAAAAATCGCCACGACTTCATTTATTAATATTAAGGGCTGAAATTTACACATGTTATAGTTGAATACTTGTACTTCAATATAAAAAATAGTCCGCAACGATTGGTACCATTTTCTTTCATTAAACTTCATATTTATGGGCCCTGTATATTGCTTGCTCGCCTCGACACGTTGATGCGCCCTTAATGAATGAGGTCCTGGCGATTTTTCGAAAAAAAAAAGTTTCTTGGCCCCTGTTGGTCGTAGGACAGACTTTTTTTTTTAAATTGTGAAAAAATGGCAACTTTCGAATGGCAGTATCGACATTTTGATAGGAATTGAAATCAAAAAAATAATCAAAGTTTTATGGCCCCTAAAAAAAAAAAATGATTTTTCTATCGTTTTTTGCGATATTTGAAATCGATTTGAGACTCAAGCAATGTATGTATGTGTCGGAGGGTGGCAGGATTGCTTTTCAACCACGGCACTTAGGCCTCATTAGGGCCCTTGTACAACCTCCTTCCTTACTCGAGTACTTTCTTCAAACCATCCTATTACTACATGGGTGGCTTGGTGACAAAGTCTCATACAATTTTTATGTATGATAGCATGGTCTTGAGTTACAGAGATTTATTGCTTTATTCTCATTACCATTTTTATCGGGGACCACACGCAGGCGGAAGGTGTTGAGTGACCCAGGCCTCTGGTAGGTTGCCACAACCGCGACCCTGAGCTTACCTTAGGTCACCCATCCAAGTTCCAGCCTGCGTCCGTGATGCTTAACTCGGCAGATCGAAATCCACCAGCCAAGACACCCAGCTAGGCGGCCCCATAAACTGAAACAATATTTGCACATAATAGTGTAATTATTAAAGAAAATTTTAAGTCCAACCCCATTCCTAAAGATGTGGCGGCCTATGAATTATGGGGATTTTACAAAAACGCTTTTTTACGAAAAACTCGATTTTTGCAAAAACTATAAAATATTTTTCAATTTTGAAAACATTATTTTATTTTGCTCACCAAGGGCTATATTTTCACCAAGTTTCATAAAAAAATATTTATTTTTGAAAGAGATACACCTATTTGAAAAAATTGCGATTTGCAATAACTAATTAATTTATTTATCGATCAAAACCAGTTTGGGCTTATTCGATCTGTATTAAAAATTCCTACAACTTTCGTTTGAAACATTTTTTTCTAAAATGTTTAGTTTTTTTTATAAATGAAAAAACTGATTTTTGCGAACTTTGGACGCAATTTTGCAAATGAAACCCAAAAATTCAGGTGGGGTAAAGTAGTTTATTGAATTCTACGGAATTTTTCCTAATTCTTACATATTTTCAATTACTGAACTATTTTTTGGCAAAAAAATGAATTATTTTCGACAATACATTTTTATATTATCACTTGACATTGCCAAAACTAAAACATTTAATTTCACAAAACTTCTGTGTAATACACTTGTAAAACAACATCCGTTAGCTATGTCAAAGATGGTGGAGGACAAATGTACAGCAGCCATTAAATTAGCACTCTGTTCTAGGCTTACGATTTTGTATTTTCCGTCGACGTAGAAGACGGAAAGCCACCACTGAAATTGCCTTACAACAGAGGCGATGATCCCTACCAAGCCGCTCATAAATTCCTTTCAAAGAATTTCTTACCTGCCGAATATTTAGAACAGGTACGAAAAATGATATTTTGTTGAACTAGAGTTGATGGAAGTTGTTTTAGGTGGTTGATTTCATTTTAAAAAATAGCAAAGAACAGTATGTGCCTCCTGTAAGCAACGAATACCAAGATCCTTTCACGGGAGGGTCACGGTACACGCCTGGGTCCAATTCTGGAAATCAGACGGAGCTGGGGATGAACTTGGACCCATTTACCGGTAAGAGCTGCAAATCATGTTAACTCGTGCAATTGTAAAACTGTTTGCTAGGCCCTCGCTTTTTTTTTATGCATCTCGAACCATTTGATTTTAGGTGGCAGTAGTTACTCGACATCCAGGGGCACAAATAAGCAGTTGCCAGTCAAGAAAACCTCGAGTAGCAACTTCTTTCCCTTGACGGCGTACCGTTCCTTCGATATGGGTGATCCCAATGTCATTTTAAATAAACTTAGAGAATTCAACGCAAATAGTGGAGATGGAAACGAATCCGTGGACGAAAAAGACCTGGAGGAATTAATAAAACTGTGCGTTGGGCCTCCGAGTGATCCGAATGTTTTCGATGTTTTATTTAAGTTGTTGGATTGGCGAGATGGTAAGTTAATAACTGACAAATATACAGAGTGTTTGAGAATTAGTTGGCCAAACATAAAATTTTAGTTCCCGTGTATAGTTTTAATGCTTCATTTTTGAGATACAGGGTGTTGAGGTTTCAAGGAGATAAAGGCCTAAAATATCTTAAGATGTTTGATTCAAGTTTGTTTATTTTGTTTTGAGTCAATTATAAATTGCATAACAAGAGTAAGAATGAATATACAAAATATTCAATAACAAATATAATTCATAATGCAAAAAACGCACACAAGGAATATAACCATTTGTTTACTAAAAATATGTTTGTATTTTTTTTAATTGATAAAGGTTTTTACTTTCTTTAAAGTCAATAGGTAAATTATTAAAAATTTTTAGTTTAGAAAAATTTGGTGACAATTTGGAAAAATATACATGAAAATAATTTTTGTGAATTGTATTTAAGGGAGGAAACCACATTAAGGCTTATTTTCAGGTGTTTCTCATAATTTTTTTTTTGAGTGGGACAAACCGATTAGAGTTTGATCAAACTTTGACTGACTTTTATTTTATCAATATTTTGATTTACATTTACAAATTTTTTAGTCATTTGTGTTGAAAATGCCCAAGTATGGGCTGTTGTCCACCGAAGGTCGTTGTCCAAGTTGATCTGAAAGCAAAATGGTTGTTTTCCTGCATTATTAACATGTTTTCTAAGAATACGAACCTTGCATTGCTGGCAAAAATTGTGAAAATTGAAGTTTTGACACGTGTTTGCAAAAAATTTATCGATTTTCACCTTTTTTTTCACTTATTTTGAATAAAAATTTTTGAGCTAGAATTCCCATGAATAAAAAAATATATAATTTCGAGAAAAACGCTTTTGAAGATTTCCGAAAATCAGAAATTTGAGAAAGTTATAGTATTTTCCAATCAGTCAGCAATTTCAGCACGATATAACAGCCCTTTTTCCTCATAGGCATCATTTTGAGCTTGATTCTGTTCTTTTCTTGCTTAATAAGTGACCAGACTACCTGAACAAGCGCTCTGCCCTACCTGCTGTGCGCCCGAGCACTGACCCGATGGGCGTTCGGTTTTAGGTTCATAAAAGCAAAATGAATAGGCATTTTGTTTTGAAATTTTGGCAACGTATCTTGAATAGTTATAGTAACGATTTTTTTGAATCTCCTAATGTGGTTTCCCCCCCTTAAGGGCCACTTGTTCATTGCCAGTTTAAACCTCGTTCAACGCTGAACTTCGTTCAACATATCTGATCCGCTTGTACATGAGTTGTTCAGCATTTGAACTACCGTTAACCTCCCGTCAACGTAAACCACTGTTAGCCGCAGTTCAAGAGCCAGTCAAACAAAAGCTAACCTTAAAAATTGTGACTGCTACCTAGCTGTTATTGTCAAGTTACGTATTTATTTGTTGCAATTTGTTTTGAAAATGGCAAGAAATTATGAAAATATAACCGATGACGAAGATTTTTTGGAATTAATTGATTTGTATGAAAACCATAATGAAAACCGAAGAGCACAAAGAATTTATAGAGAGAAAATAAATAATTTTAATATGTGGACAGAAGGTGAATTCCGAGAACGATATAGATTAACGAAAAATACTGTTAGGTTTTTAATCAATGAAATATCAGAAGAGATATCCAATCGAACGTCTCGGTAGGTGCCATACATTTCATTTTGAATGTTATGTAATATGTTATCTTTTTTTAGAACTCACAGTTTATCTGCAGCAGATATGGTTTTAGTGACATTAAGATTCTTGGCAGCTGGTTGTTTTTTAAAAGTTTCTGGAGATTGTCATGGTATTCATGAGAGTACTGTTAGTAGAGTAGTGAATAAAGTTACACGAGCCATTGCCGCTAAACATTTGAATTTTATCTAAATGCCATCAAGTCTAGAAGAAATTAGTGCCATTAGACAAGGTTTTGTCATGGAAAGCTCGCTTTCCAAAATGTATAGGAGCAATTGATGGTACACATATAAAAATACAAGCACCTAATGTAGAAGAGCCCGAAGTATTCCGTTGCCGAAAAGGTTTCTTTTCATATAATGTACAAGCTGTGTGTGATGCGAGTTTAAAAATTCGGAATATTGTGTGCAGATGGCCTGGTTCTGCACACGACAGTACGATCTTCCAAAATTCGAATCTACGTACTAGATTTGAAATTGGTGAATTCGGTGATAATGTGTTAATTGGAGACAGTGGATATGGAATAAGAAATTATTTAATTACACCACTGAATAATTCAGTAACACGTGCCGAACAATTATTCAATGAATCCTTGATACGGACCAGAAATACAGTGGAAAGGACATTTGGAGTTTGGAAGAGAAGGTTTCCTATTCTTTCATCTGGTATTAGACTAGACTATCGAAAAGTTGAGGCTATTGTTGTTGCTACAGCTGTTCTACACAACATAGCTATTGAGCAGAATGAACCTCTCTTTGACACGGATGGGGCTATTGAAATGGAAGTACATTTGGACAACGAAGAGGAAAATCAAAATGATAGAATTGCTGGACAGAACAATAAACGAAATAAAATAGTTGATTATTTCCAAACATTATTGTAGATATTTGTATATTTATTATAATTTGGATATAATAATAATAATAATAATAATAATAATAATAATAATAATAATGTTTATTTACCCATGCTACATCCTTTCCAACAATATACAATAATCAATTTTAGAATCTAATCTTAATACTAAGAATAAGCATAAATAAGTAATAAAACATATACTCGATAAGTAATAACTTGTTTCGAGAACAATAATACAGTACAATATTTTATACAATATTAACATACAATAATATCATATATCATCGTGTGTGGTACACTCAGTTAATAAACTTAAGAAAAATTCAGACATATATTGACATAATTATTTTGTACATACACTGACACATATAACTATATACATATATAACACATATACATATATACACATATACACACATATAGTTTTATACATTTAATTTAGAAATAAAAGCCAACTGTAATGAGATAATTTTAATTATACTGTAATTTATTTTTTAATATTTCTATTTCTATGTCGTGCTTTTCTTTCTCTCTAACCATACGCTGTTCACTTTCTATACTTAAAACCTCCATCTGTTTAGCATGTATTTCCCGTAGGTGTTGCATTTTTAAATCATGCTCTTCCTGACAACACCTCATTTTCAAATTTTCAAAATCTGATTTTGAAGCTGCCCACTTCTCAAGTTTAACCCCTAATGTGTTTTTTTTTGGTGTATTATGTATTTGTAGGGGTTTAGATTTCGGTTGGCTTAGCATATCTGGTGTATATTTGGCCCAATTATTCTCATTCGTTTCATTAACTGCAAATAAAATTATTAAGTAGGTATTTAATCTATCATTATTTCAGGAATATAACTTGCCATCTTCACGATTATTTTCACTTGATGTGGAGGGACCATCTATTGTAAAAGTTTCAGGAATATCTACAAAAGCATGTTTTTTATACTTATCATTACTGCTATTATAACTATACCTTGCTCCGTTTCCAGTAAGATCACTGTTGAAGTATCGTCACCAGTAGCACTGATATCTCTCGCTGACACTGTTTCTTGGGGAATGGGAAAACCTTCAAAAGTAATATTAATTAATGGTAAATATTATATATGATTAAATCTACAAACTTATAGTATCATCTCCAAATTCACTTTGCATTCCTTTAGCTCGGACACCAAGTAAATCTAAAATTTTTGTTTCTGTTGAATCCATTTTACTTTCAATGTAAGGCCCCCCACCAGTACGCAAGAGTGCTTGTCTTTCTTCAGCTGCCTACATTTTTAATGATTAATAAGATTTAAAAAATATTTATTTAGATGGGTATCACGTACCTTATGTTTTGTGCGTTTCTTCAAATTCTCATATTTGTTTTTTAATGTCTTTGCATCCCTAAATGTTTCTCCAGATACAGCATTAAATTCTTTTGTAATGCCTACCCATATTTCTACTTTTTTTCGGTTCATTACCGTATCTGTTTTCTTACATTCTATTATTTCCTTGTGCTTGTATACAATATCTAATAATATTCTTTCCTCATTTTTGCTAAAATTATTTGAACGTTTGTTGTTATTACTTGCCATTTTTCAGTTCTTTTGAACTACCAAGAATGAAGTGTTTATTGGTATCTAACAATATATGGGAAACCAACACCACACTAAAAAGTACCAAAACATACAAGTTATCTGTTTACCTATTTTTTTATTTACTTACTTTATTGCACTTCCAAATTATTAAATAATCTGATACAATAGCTTTAACCTATCCTTAGTTTAACTTTTTCTACTAACACATGACAACATAAATAGTAACTAACGTCAACGTGATGCGACCAATGACACTAAATGTCAAAAAATATGCAAATTGCGCATGCTTGCAGTAGTAGCAACTTCATAAATATATAACATTTCTAAGTTCAACTGACCCGGTGTTGAACTGTACTTGTGCAAAGCAAGCTTTTTTGAACGGTAGTTCACAGTTAACTGGAGTTCAGCTGAACGTAGTTTAAACTGAGAAATGAACAAGCGGCCCTAAGAATGTTAAAAAAATATATTAAAAAAACTTGTCTATCTTTAAAAACTTAAGCACACATTTTAAATATAAATAACCATTGTCAAAGTTAAAATCTTGTTTTATATAAAAATATTTCTATAATTGGGCTCACTGGGTACGGTGCAAAATGCATTTTTGTGAAACGAAAACAGTGCGACACAAAATAAAGGCACAATTTTACCTATGCGTATTATAAATTAATTGTTTTTTTTTTCAGGATTACTTTCGTATTCTTAAATAAAAAAATTATTGAACTGCTAGTATAATACAATTTCCAATTAAGAGTTTCATTGAAATAAGTACATCACGTTATTTAATTTTCAGTGTTTCAAACGTTCAACGCTCAACAAATCCTTCCTTGATGATTATTATTTAATTTTTAGCAAACTAATTCATGGCCTCATTGCAAAGATATTATACTAATGCAAAAAAGTGTTTTCCCATAACCTATAACATGAATTTCAAAAAGTTGAAAACCAATTGTTCCAAGGTTGTAACGAAATTTTAGTTAATTTCTTTACATGTTAATTTTATTCTCAAATACCATCATTTTCTCCTTAATCCCATTCACGTTTCCATCCTTATCACATTCTTGCCGAGAGTACACTCCGATCAACTCTTAAAACACCAAGAACACTCTTATATTACACTGAAAACGCCCCACGTTGGGCGCCAACTTCTTTAGGTGCAACACTTTTACGTTGAATTGGCCAATTGGCCAAAATTGTATTGGGTTAAGTTGAAACACTGAATATTATTAAGGGCGCCACTATATCTAGACTAGATATAGAAATTTATATTGTGAATATTACTTGAAAATTAGAGAGTACAGGAAAAATCAAAAAGATACTCGATTTAAAATAACAAATTTAATACAGTGAAATTAGAATTAGGCAAAAGCCGCTCGGGAATTTGCTCTTTTTATATTAAATAGAGCTTGTTTTTGCTTTAATTTAAAAAAAAGGAGAAATCATCTACGCCTCTTTGTTCCCAAGATAACTTTTTTTATATAACGTTAATTGTTAATTAACTATTAGACGTATCGAATCAGGATTTTAGAGTTAATTAAAGAAAGGTAAAGGTCATCTAGATTTTCATGGACAGTAAAGGTTAAATATACAAAAGGCTTTTTTTCGCGACTGAATATCTGACTTGTAGTTACTATTTCTATCTCTTTTGGTCTTAGTTGTCATGTGATATTTTACTACCAACATACGACTTCATGCGAAAAGTCTAATGTTGCTATGTGATATTAAACATTTTACTACCATTACCAAACATTCCAACAAATGACTAAAACTACTAATTAAAAAGAATCTTGGGATTTAAAAAGAAAATAGGAATTCAATGATTGAATTTGAATGTTCTTAATGAAAATGACTTCTGGTATCTTCGCCACTGGTAGACGGATTTATATCCAGATTTAGTGGATTTTTCTCTTTAATTAGATAGATCATGAGCTCAAGTTTAAGTACTCTCTGTTAAACGTTTTCAGAAATGTGAATTTTTTCCAAAAAGAAGTGTTTTGTACCTCAAATAGGATCTTTTTTCAAACACCTGAATTTAAATTTCAAGTTTGGATTATAATTAATTCTGTAACAACATCTGTTACGTGGAAGATTCTTCATAGTCATCCACTTTTCAAAATGGCATAAAATTTTTGATAACGAATTTTTTTTTCAGATATAGTATTCCCAGTTCTCGATATCATACGACTGGCAGTACGCCATGAAACTAACAACGAGGTAATATCTTCGATGAACAACGGCATCATCATGGACAAACTTAAAGGTTACATCGGGGATACCTGTAAAGTAGTGAATAACCTGATTGTGTCTCTTAGAACTATCAGCAATTTATGTTTACACGAACCAGGGGAAAGCTTAGTTTACAATAATCGATTTGATATTTTGGAAAACATGACGTCTTTAGGACAACTAAATAAAAACTGCCAGGTATAGAATCAGTTAGTGAACGTTATGTAATCGTATAACTTCATATTTATTTCAGATCGCCTTGTCAACCACTCTGTTAAATTTGACCGTTATGACGATCAAACGGACCGACGAGTTGGGTTTGACGATACTCGCTCAAGTCCTTCCCGACATTTTAACGAAATTGTCCGATACGGAATCGCAGTTTAGGATGTACGTTGCCATAGGGACATTAATAAAGTCTGCGAATTCTCACAAGTCGGAGATATGTGCTAAGATCAATGAAAATTCAAATTTTCTCACTACGCTGCAGTTGCATACGTTTTCCGGTCAGAACGATTTGGAAAATAAAAGGAATAACTGCGTAAAAGAATTGCTAAATATACTGTAACCGATAGGTTAATATTAATTATTAATTTTTTGTTTTGTTTACGTTCATGCTGTAATAAAATCATATTAATATAACATTTTTTCATTTAAATAAAATACTGAAAATAACTGAAAAGTTATGGTGTGTTAAAAAAATTCAATGCTTGGATTTGAAGTTAAATTTCTGGAAAAATTGGTTATAGCAAATAAACTTTTTTTAGAAAAATTAAAAAATTGTAAAAGTGAAAAAATTAAACTTATTGTGTAAATCTAGAATATAAAATGCCGTAGCTACTATATTCACTTTTATTTAAAAAAAGTGATTCAAATTTCTGAAAAAATTGGTGGTCATCGCAGAAAAATTGGAAAAACAGAACTCTCATAATTTGAACTTTTATTTCACTTTTTTTTAGATATGGGCACTTTGGAAAAGTGTGTTATGGACATGTCGATGAAATTTCCAGACATGTTGGGAAAAGCACTTGACCTTGAATCTAGTAAGGCACACTGGTCACTGCTTTAGGGTACACAAAGCAAAATATTACTTTTATCCTAATGAATATGTCGATATGTTTTACTTATTACCTACCTTAAGTGGTTTCTAATTTTCCCCGGACAGCCAATACACTTATTTAAATGTTTTTCCATCCCACTGGAATTCTTAAAAATTGTTTTTGAGCAGAAGTTGCATTTACAAGTGATTTTTACTCAATTCAGAAAAATATAACCAAACTGTTGATTTTGGCGTCATACTTCATTTATAAACTGTTATTATTGTATTAAATATTAAATTAAGAATCAACTGATTACTATTTACTAATCATTAAATTTGCCAAAAATAATAAAATATAAGAGGTTATATTTTTAAAATGTCAGTTAAACAACAATTACCAACAAAATTATAAGAAAATGGTTAAATATCTTTAATTTTACATGTACCAACCTCAAAAATTTTTTGCGGGAATTATGAATGCAACAAATAATTCGGCGCATGCGCATATAACTTTTCAATCTTGAAAAGACCACTTTTCACATCTCTACTTTTTTTTAAACATGTTTGTAAAATTAAAAAATTATACAAGGTGAGTAAAAAAGTTCACTTTCTGAAAAAATCAAATGTATTTTTTTCTAAAATTTGGCAAAATTTAACTTTTGTGTAAATCTAGGATATAAAAGGTTTCAGCCACTATGTTTGCCATTAAAAATGTTTGTAAATATTTGTGCAGTCTCTTCCAAATACCTCAGGATCACCCATGAATAGTTTAATTTTTTATTTTGGAAATTTCCGTTGAAAATTTTCATTTTTTCTCTGTGGTTTGAAGAAAGCATCTCCAAAAAAATTGAATGGGACCCATGCTTCATCATCAAAATATTAAATTTAATTTTCACAAGCCATCACTTACGTATGCACAAAAATTTGAGAATATTGCCATTTTTTTATTAAATTTTTAGATGATCAAAATTTTTGGTTCGAAAATCCAAAATATCTTGATCCTGAAAACTTGATAGTGATCCGTTAACTGAAAAACTGGAATTATATATCTTGTGTGTCATTGAATTTTATACAAAATACTGCATAGAAATTGTTTTCTACAAATCAAAATATCTGGATGTGGGTTCCACCTTTCAATTTCTCTCAAAAAACGAGGCCGAGACACTTTAACTACTTTTTATATACATCTTCCAGAAATACGAGACTCCCTCTAAAAGTGTTGGAAGTGGCACCGCTTTATATAGGAAGGCCTAATAATACAATACCTCTTGATTTTTTAACATAAAAATTAAACCAAAATACTAAACCACTTTAAGAAAAAAAAATCATTATTTACATCACTTCTACAATGTTAATTTATTCTATAGCACATAACACTATAAATTATGCTTCTTCAGCTCGCAACTCATTTTGGGATTTAACTCTTAAACGTCTTTCACGTTCGTATTCCTTCATCCTCAAAATAAAACTGAAACAACTTATTAATACAAATAAAACTGAGAGTAAAGTAATTCACTTACTCATCATATTTACAGTTAAGATACTCATGTTTTTCATGCTCACATTTCACAGCCCATGGCCAGTGTTCTCTCCTACAACCTCTAAATTTTAGCAACAAATGAGCACAGTAATCTCGATCTTTTAATGGTAACTTCGCTGATCTCATTTGTTCATCGGTGGCAATCATTACTAAGAAGAATTTTTAATTGTTACAGAAACAGGAAAATTCAAAATAAAAAATATGTTCAAATATAATCGTACCTCTCTCCTTCCTGCCTTTGGGGAAGCCAAGATTTGGGTCAAACGTAGGTTCTTCGTTAGGATCTGGTGTTATCTCTGGATGAAAATATAAATCGAACCCATTTTGGGGCATGTGTCCGAGTCCATTTCCCATTATTTTGATAAAAACTGATAGTTTTTCATAAATTTGATTACTTTAGAGGTTAGGGTTGTTATATAATTTTGGCTTTTGACAGTTTTAGATCAATGAGTTTATAGGGACAGATAGGAAAACAAGCCGCTACTAGTAGTAGTTCCAGTACACCAAATCTTCGTAAATTGCAATAGGTTTCTCTTACCCGATTTTCGAATTAAAAATATATAGCTATAAGAAAATGACGCAGAGCTTAAAAGTTTACAGGATAACTTGGTAAAAGGTAAATAATTCTCTTAATTCAAGAATCGGGTCTCTGCTAAGGCTGATATTCAGTGTGGAAATGATAAAGTCTGCTTCTATCGTGTAACACCTGTCAATATGGCTATGTACAAGATTTTGGAGTTATGAACAAGTAGGTCAAGCCAATAAACAAAATCACTATTTAAATACCACTTTACCAAGATAGAATATCAAAATTGAAATTTCAAGATTTTTTCAGCTATTTTATTGCAAAAGTCCTCGAAAGAAACAGTCCTCTATAAAAAATGTGTTTATTATTTTCTTGGACTTTTCATTATTATGTTGTTTATATCATATATTAAAAAAAAATCAACAAGTTTACCAATTAATAATTTATTGATAGATTTGTAATACTCTAGTACAGAAAAAAAAATGTTAAACAGAATTACAACCAGATAAAACAACTGATTTTTCAAATACAATAAAACCAAAATGTTTAATTTTAATGAAAAAAATTGCATATATTAAAAGTCTTGCATTTAATTAAAAATAAATAACATTACATTATCGTAATATATTTTATAGTACCAAAGAATTCTAGATCACAAAGTAATGGATTTAATTGTAGTACTAGATAATTTATATCAAATTTTATAAATACATCAAACCACTGGATGCGGCGTGCGCCATCAGTGTGTTTGCCGCCTGTTGCGTCTCCAACAATATCCTCGTTTCATTCATCCACTGTCTTGCTACGCAGCGTGGCGCCCCCTTAAGTAAGTTCATGTATTTCAAAGTCTGTGCAAAGTCCCCTCGGTCCAGCCAATACCTAAATTGAAATTGGACAGCAAAAAATATTTCCCAGTTTTATTTGGCCATTACTTGAGATTTAATGCATAGAGTAATTTATGGCAAGTGTAAAAAAATTTGGAGGAAGATTAATCGATTTTTAAATCTTGACAGTTGAAAAACGTAAATAAGATATATTTATGAACTTTTCCGCGAGTGTGTCAGTTTAATCGTTTAATAAAGACATTTTTACTATTCAAAATTCAAATGGTGCCTCTGCGATAGCTTCAAAAATGCAGTGTTTATATTTGTTTTAGGTAACTCAGAGAATTCAAAGATGAACGAAATTATCACCACTTCTTTCATTCACACAAGCTATCACTCAGTGTATCAAGGACTCAGTGCATGCCGCTAGAAACACGTGTCTTCCTTGAGTTATTTCCATGACGTTTCCTACCTGTCATTCATTTTGTATTTGGTCCACATTTTAGTGTGAGGCTCCTGGACTTGAAGTACAATTAGCCCAGTATAAATGAAATTTGTAATACATGTAAATCAAAAGGTAATTCGTTTCAGATTGAAACTTGGTTTAATCGTTAGTTTAGTCAAAAAGGAATAATATTTCCCAAAAAGTATCAGTTTAAAACAACAAGATCATTGTTTAAACAATGATTATAATGTAAAAATTACCAAAAATGGAATTTTTTAGCTGTATTAAAAAGCCCTCTCCAATAGGAGTTTTTGCTTTTGTTTATACTTATAGGATTTCAAAGAATGCTTCATTTGAGACCTGCTAAATTAAAATCCATTAACAATTTGTTTAAATAATTGCAAAAACCCAGCAAAATTTGAATTTGCTATAAGTAGAAGAAAAGTAGATAAATTGTTTCTAAACTGCAGTAAAAGTTGTATTTTGTTATGCTTAAGAGACCTTGAAAATTTGGTAAATAAAATATTTATTTGTTTACAAGTTTTTGCGTTTGTTTATTATAAATAGCATTTTTTCAATTGCAAAAACGCGGTTGTTAGCGTTATAATAAAGGGCCTTATGAGGGCTCATTTGTTTCGTCTTGACTTATATTCTCAAGATATGCAATTGGAAATTGTAATTTTATAGGCTAACCTCTCAAAACGGCGTATAAACAAATAGTGTAATTTGTTTATAAGGTTTTTCGTTAATAACTTTGCAAATAATGAATATTTTTTTAAGCCGCTTTGATATTCATAATACTAGTGATTTTTCACGAATTTAAAAAAAAAATTGTTCTAGGACCATTTTTAGCCGAGACAGCGTTTTTTTTTAAATTTGTAACTTGTTTATTTATAAAACATTAAGACTTGAAATTTCGAGAATAAATCAATCAACCCTTAAACTTCATAATACTGGTTAAAGATATTGAAAAAATGCATTTTATAGTAATTTTTAACCATTTAAAAAACGTCCTCGAATACATTTTTACACCTGGAATGTGTGGGGGAAATGAGACAGAAACATTCCGAGACTTCCAATCATAATTGCCCGAAAATTTTGCGATATCTCCGGTAATTGTGGACCAATTTTTAAAGTTTTTTTTAATTTGGGATAGCGGATGAAAATAATGACAACTGCATGGTCCATTTTGCAATAATTAATTATTAATTTGTTATAAACTATTAATTTTGTAAAAAAACTTTTTTTTTGCATTTTTTCGAGAAATAATTTTACACAATGGTACCAATAAACAATTTTCTTAAAAAACAATATTTTTATGCAAAAAATTCAGGAAATGACATTTTGTATGTATAAAGTTTATTTTAATGAGAATTGAGTTTTTGGATGCAAAATAGACCGTGCAGTTGTTATTATTTTCATGCACTACCCCAGATTAAAAAAAAACGTTAAAATTGGTCCACAATACCGGAGATACTGCAAAATTTTTGGGCAGTTAAGATTTTAAGTCTCGGAGCGTTTCTGTCTTATTTCCCCCACCACATTCCAGGTGTAAATATGTATTCGAGGACGTTTTTTAAAGTGTTAAAAATTACTATAAAATGCATTTTTTTCAATATCTTTAACCGTTATTGTGAAGTTTAAGAGTTGGTTGATTTATTCCCGAAATTTCAAGTCTTAATGTTTATAAATAAACAAGTTATGAATAAAAAAAATGCCATTTTGACTAAAAATCTTATAAACAAATTACCTATTTGTTTATACGCCGTTGAGGAGGTAAGAAAATTACAATTTCCAATTCTTGAAAGTATAAATCAAGACGAAACAAATGAGCCCTCATAAGGCCCTTTATTATAACGCTAAAAACCACGTTTTTGCAATTGAAAAAATGCTATTTCTAATAAACAAATGCAAAAACTTTTTACCAAATTATCAGCGTTTCTTAAGCGTAACAAAATACAACTTTTACTGCAGTCTAAACGATTTATGCTCTTTTCTTCTATTCATAGCAAATTCAAATGTCGTTGGTTTTTTGCAATTATCTAAACAAATTGTTAATGGATTGTAATTTAGCAGGTCTCAAATGAAGCGTTCTTTGAAAACCAATAAGTATAAACAAAAACAAATTTTATTACAAATTTTTTTTCATTTACTGGGCTAAATGTATCCGGTACTAGTTTTCCAGCATGTCCGCTGCGATTTACTCACAGGACGTAAACAGTATAATAAATAGATGCATGATAAAATCGCAAAGAAAAATGCTTAGCATACATTCGTGATGCCATGGCAGCATTTTGCTGACATTCCCCATATACTATTTCAATTAGTTCATTGCTAGGTCCCCATTTAAATAATAAGAATAAAATGTTTGTTGATTTCTCCGGTATTACCAAAAGTAATTTTGTTTCTGACTTCAATACTCCTAAACCGTTAAAAATATGACAATTTTGCAACATTTTTGATGTTTTATCTTCCTCTAATTTTTTACACTCGTAAATCACGCTATATATCAGCAACATCAAATAAAATATAAAAAGAAATGAACAATAATCAATTACCTTGCCCTCTGCAATATGTCGTTGGTGTCTAATTTGCTAAAATCGACCTTTTCGTCATTCAGTTCGCTCTGTGGAATAGGGCTGGCAGCTTTAATTAGCAGTAATGACTGTAAATATGATAAAATGTGAATGGGAAGGGCGGCGCCGTCTTCCGGGACCAAGGCGACAGTCCTCGCCACTTGCTCAACTTTAAGGAACCTCTCCCTTAACGCGTCCTCTGGATACACGCCCCTCTCTTTTGCCTCTTTCGGAATGCCGTTGAGCACTGCCGAGACGAGCTCGTCGTTTTGAGCTAGAAAATTAATTTTACGATATTTGCCTCAATTTTTATTTTTTATTTATTTTTTTCAAATCTTTTCGATTCAATTCGCTAACAATATCTAAAATAATTTCACGGATTTAAATTTAACAAACAAAAGTGGGGTAATTATATACAGCACGTTCTGTATATTTGAAAAACATAAATTCATCAAAAAAGGAAATCCTAAGCTTTCTACAATTATTTCAGGTGCCAATTTTTAAAAAATTGTGAACATTTTTATTCGAAATCTAATATTCTGTTTTGACATATAACCTACAAATTTATTTGTCACTGCTGGTCAAGGCCTACTTGTATAAAATATTGTTTTGTGGCAAAGAGTGACCTACTAACCTGAGGCACTATGAAAACATGACTAGCTAGCATCACACTGGGCAAAACAAAATTTTTAACTAACGACACTATGAGAAACAACTACTGGAGACTACAACACCTGCTATATCACAGAATAAGTTCGGTAAATAAAATTTTGAGTATCGGTTACGTACGTACAGAAATAGTAAATTAACAATATTAATATTTGCACTAACCTGCTGCCTTTCTCACTGCGGTTATCTCAGGTTCTAAGGGCCTAATCTGGCTCTTCCAAGGCATACCGGGACAACCCGCTTTGATTGCACGTAACAGAGACTGACACGCGCTCCACAAAACTTGCGCCTGCTTTGCCGTTTCCTCGGCATTTTTCTTTTCTACACCAAAATAAGAAATAATAAACGGAATTTTTATTTTGGAATTACTGTCAAATAAGGTCTTGATAGTGTTAGGAAATAATTAATATACGAATAAACGAAATAACTTAACTTAATATACGAAATAATTGAGATAAATAAGAAAGAGAAGCCCCTTAAGGCTTTCGTGTAAATCTGAATGGCTATAATGAGGAAAAATTTACCTTCCGGATAAAAATAGGCCAAAAATGTTCCACTGGAATTTATAATGCCTAGCATCATATTTCACAATCATGAAAAAAGTAAACAAAAAAATTACTTCTAGAAAAATTTGACAAGCTGCTGACATTGCGTTTTGTGTGATGTCTTCGAATTCGTTTCTACGGTTATTTTAAATTTTACAATATACAGGGTGTCTAGCAAAGAATGTGACATAAGTCAAGAGTAGCTGCCTTGGGTTAAAAACTTTAGTTCAAGTGACCTTAGTACAATTTTGCTTCCTTAAAAAATTACAAGGTTTGAAAAGATTTGTTTTTTTCATTTTTTTCAAAATTACATCACTACTTTTGAAGATTTAAATGAAATTTGGTGTAGGGGATTTTTCAAGGTGGCTAAATATGAAGATGATCTTATTTTTCACTAAACATTTTTAATTCTAAGGATGCTCTAAAAAAAGATGTTTTTGGATCGCCTTTTTATTTGTTTTAAAAAAAGATATACATGTTGCGTGTTGCTAAAATATACTGTTCTAGTGAAAAATGGATTTTAATTTTTTAACAACGGCCATCATTTACTGTCAGTTGAGTATATGGAAGTGTTCTAATTTGATTAAACCTCACTTTTTTGCTGAATTTGCGACGGAAGTGAATATTTTTTACAATTTACCTCAACTTAAGCCCATTCAAAAGTCGACAATTACAGGGAAAAAGCCCAGCGATACTACATTCAAAACCTTATGCCTCAGTAGACAATTACTTTTTAATTGAAGTATATTGGTCCAAATTGTACAAATCTAAATTTATTTGCAAGTTTAGCACGAGATTGCTCTCAAATACTTGGTTATCGGTAACTGTTGACTGCTGTAATAAATTTTTATATTTTATATCAATCATTTTAGTGATATGCAACAAGTAAACCTTTTTTACAGTAAATAAAGTGGTGTTTCATAAGATATCTCCCTTCTCTACAAAATTTCTACCAATAAAATTAAATAGAGCAATGACCAAGACTGTTCTGTAAAAAATAAGCTCATATTTAATGTTCAGTTATTCTCCCACAAATTTTATTAAAATATCTTAAAAAATGAAATAATTTTTTTTGACGGATTGTAACTTTTTGAGGAAACAAAATAATATTAAGGTAACTTGACCCTCGGCAGCAACCACTAAAGTACAAGGTTAGTCAAAGGTATGGAAACCTCCATAAATCTCAGCAGAAAAGCATTTTTGGAATAAATTGTGAGGACAAAAGTCTCAGTATTTTTCACAGAGCATCCGATGGAAACCTTGACCTTGAGATGAAGGTTCAAGGTCATATCAAGATCAAGTCGGTTTTTTAAAATTGCAGCCATCCTTTTCAATCTCGGAAATGAAAAAGAAGGAAATTCTGCATCCAAATATGACATTGACTCAAGGTCAACGCGGTCAAGGTTAGTTCAAGGTCAAATGTGGATTTTTGTATTTTTTTATTTTTAACTATGGAATGCGAGTGACAGTTTTTGTTCAGATACTTTAAGGTTAGAATTTCATAGGCCAGCGACCATCTGCGACCACTAAAAAATTGTGAGTCCCTTCTACACCACCATAGAAAATGAAAAATGACAGCCGGAATAATCACTTGATTTCTACCTGACCTTGACCATTGACCTTAAGGTCACGTTTAAGATCATAATAACATGTAGAATTCTACGCTCTCTTATTTCTAGCTTCAAAATAAAGGGTCACTACTCCAGAAACCGACATGACCTTGACATGTCCTTTCGACCTGGACCTCAAGATCAAGGTCACTAAGGGGTACCATTACATATCTACTCAAAGAATGTCACTCCCTCTGATTCTGTAGTTAATAAAAAATTACAGTAAAAATCAACATTTGACCTTGAACTCAACTTGACCATTGACCTTGAGGTCATAATCAATGTCATATTCGGATGCAGAATTTTCTGCTCTTTCCCATTTCCAAGCTCGAAAAGGAGGGTCGCCATTTAAAAACCGACTTGAGCTTAATATGACCTTCAACCTTGACCTCAAGGTCAATGTTACCATCAGATGCGCCGTAAAAAAGGCTAGATATTTGTCCTCACCATTTATCCCACATGTTTTTTTTAGGAAAAAAATACCCCATATTGATAAAATTATATTGATTTTTCCCGGTCTCTGGAATATAGACATTTTTTTTGTTGTGATTTTTGGCACCTTTTCTGTAAATTGATGTTTATTTTGCACTCTTTCGTATAAAAATATTAATTTAAACAATATTATCCATAAATATTGGCAAATGTTACATTTAAACTATTAATGAAAAAAAATGTTTGAAAAATTATTAACAACTAAATGAACAATGGTCTACTCTATTTGACATGTAAAATGAGGTGAAAAAAATCGCAAATTTGCATTTCAATTCACCTTACTTCTAGATTATACAGTGTGTCCACGGATTGAGTGCACGTGGGGTGTAAATGACAAACATTTTTCGAGTTGAAATTTGAGCATCTGGGCATCATCTCTGCTTGGCCTTAAACTAGGATGTTGAAAAAAATTAGTACAATTAATTGATGTACAGTGTTTTTAGGATGAATTTTCAAAAATTGTCAAGAGTAAAGTACCCATGTTTTTAAAAATATTAGAAATATTCACTTAAGAAAGTTATTGAGAACTAAAAGTTATAACAGATTTTCAATTTTCAATTTAATGGGCCAATTTAGTTTTTTTTTATTTTTCACAACCACTAAGTACAAATTCCTAAATATTTATTAGAGTTAAAGCATAGCTAATATAATAAACATAAATAAATAAATAATAATATAATAGTTATTCAAATGTGCTGCCACCAACCGTTACACATCACTCAGCACACTCGGTAATTTCTGTGTAGATGGTTTGGACTTCTTGAACAGGGATGGCATTAATTGTACATTTTATTCTTCATTTCAATTCAAATAAATTGTTATTTAACAGGGACCCATAGACTTTCTGCCCATAAATAAAAGTCCATTAGAGTTAAATCAGGACTTCTAAGAGGCCAAGGAATTGGTCCATTTGGCCAATCCCCCGCCCAAGAAATTGACCATCTAGCCATTCTCGAATCATTCGCATTGAATGTGCTAGTTGTCCGACTTGTTGAAAGTAAAGAGAAAAAAAACAAAGTTGGCCGATCAAATTGAAAATTGCCAGTCTCTCATAACTTTTAGTTCTCAATAACTTTCTTAAGTAAAAATTCATCGTAAAAACGTCCTGTGCATTAATTTATTGGACATTAGTCCAATAAATTAGTTTTCAACTTCTTAGCTTAAGACCAAGCAAAGATGAAACCCAGAAGCTCAAATTTCAACTCGAAAAATTTTTGTCATTTACACCCCACGTGCACTCAATCCGTGGACACACTGTATGATATAAATTCAGGAACACTTTTGCCCACACAAAAGTCACACTAGTGAAAATTCGCATTGATCTTTTTTTCAGACGCTCTAGTTTGGCTAATAATAACACACTGCGGCGAGCTGTGGTACGGCTCGACTATTTGGGCTGTACAAGGAATTATCGTGGCAGGAGGAACCCTCGGCAGCTGCTACCTGAGAAATGCCAACAAAAAAAAACAGTGGTGCAAATTCGCACTAGTGTGACCTTTGAGGGTAAATTTCCATAAAATTAAAAATTATTAAAATTAAAATTACGCTAAAATACAACATTCTGTTTCACCGGCTGTGATTGGTGTAATTTTTCACAAAATTCTATCGTGATCGCAGTAACTCGAGCATAGACGCAATGTTGGTAGCCGAAGATTGGCGGTCACATGGCTTGTAAACATTTATGAAAGAATAAGACTAGAATAAACATAATTATTTTTTATCTAACCTCTTATAGCTTGATCCAGCCCCTTCAAACGTCCCACCGCCGTCGCCAACTGAATTTTGTACTGACATCTTTCCGCCTCGAGCAGCTCGTCGTACTTTCTAGTCAACACCCTCTCAATCTCCTCGGCTTTTATGTTAATAGCTTCGTGCAGGTGATCGCTAAAAGCCTGAGACTGACGTTTCAGCTGCTCCCTCAGCTCGTTGTCCGCTTCTTTCCTCACTTTCAAAAGCTGCAAAATAACGAAAACACTGCTCTCGTCTCTTATGAATCCCAATAAGTTTTCTTAATCACCTGCTGTTGGAAGCACAACGCCAACCTCCTCTTCTCCTGGTCGAGAGCTTCGCAGATCTGCGCGTTCGTCAAAGGTTCTCCGCCGCCCTTCCTAGCGGCTTCGACGGCCTGCCGCACCTTCTCTTGGATGATGGTCTCCATTTTGGCCAGCTCCTTCTGGTAGAACAGGACGTTGGCGTAGGTGTGTAGAACGAACAAATCCAGGTCTTCCTCGTTAACTCTCAGCTCCTTCTGGGAGATGTCGATGCACGGGAAGAGACTCTCTAGCTCCAGCGAGAAGTGATTCCTCGCCTTTTCGACTTTGTCCCAGTACTTCTCCGTGACGCTGCCGCTCTTCTGCTCCGCCTCTAGTTCCTTTTTCGCTTTCACGATGTCTTCTTGTACTTTGGAAATGTTGGTTCTTATTAGGTCTTTCGTGGTCGCCGGAACGTCGAACTTTGGACTAAAAATTCATTTTATAGGGTGTTACAAATTAGTAGTTCAACCCGTTAACCACATACTCTTTGGACTACAATGATAGGACTTTTCTTAGTCGCTTTTCATTTCGGAGCCCCATTTTAAAAATACAGGGGTCAAAATTTAAAAAATGATTTCTATTGTTAGCTCTGCTGATTGTAGAGATATTTATCTGAAATTTAGCACATATTTTGATCTTAAGTCGGGAAACTTTTTGTGTAATTTTGGTTTAAAATATCAAAGCGCGAACAGAGAGGAGGGGGGTTGCATTAACCATGGACCCCCTTTTTTTTTCGAGTACGCCTATGCTTTCCGAATATTTTTTTTTAGATAAAGCGGCATTTTATTCTATTTTTTTCACTCTTATTAAGATTTTATTTGGGGGTCGTTTACGAGATATTGTAACTTTTTTGGATACACGACATCGATTTAGTCGACGTTAGACTTTATTTAAGGAGTTCATGGGTACTGCAACCCCCCCTCCCCTTCGTTCGCGCTTTGATATTTTACACCAAAATTTCACAAAAAGTGTGCCGACTTAAGATCAAAATATGTGCTACATTTCAAATAAATATATCTACAATCACCAGATATACATATTAATAAAAAATCATTTTTTAAAGGTGATAGCCACTGTGATGGATCAAAAAAAATATTATTTTTTTTTGCTTTAATTTAAATTTTATACCTGCGAAAAAATGTGTACAAAATTTTAAGTCAAAATTCCGAAAATTGACTGAGTTACAGTCATTTTAGTGAGGCAGATATAGACACCATAAATCACCTGCATGCTAAGGACAGAGGAAGAATCGTGGGCAAAAAGGCAATAAAATAAAAAACAATGCCAAGGACACCACTGGAGATGTAGAGGAAGAACCATCATCTGGCCCAGGACTCGATAGTAGTGCGTGATCACGAAGTTAGTGTCCATAGACAGATTCAAACCTGCGTATTCACGTATTGTCTGAATGGCGCGACAACTACCAGGGACAAGGACAATAGCCTTCCATCAACTTCTGCCCCATTATCCGTGCCAACCACACCCAAGGTAATTACCACTAGGTCCGCCCTAACCGGCTGTAAATTCCGTGATGGCATCCATATTGGCAGGGGGGTGTGTGGGTACACATGTTCGCAAGTGACCCATTTTTAAGCATTACGTCAAGAGCACCGCCGGACGCACCAACGTTCCAGAAAGGGTCTACAGTGGGCTGGCGCCGGTGACCAGATGCTTACTCATATATCTACGACCAACTCCACACACAGGGACTCTCCAACAAACACTCGCCCCGTCAACACACACGTCTTTTCCACAAACTTAGTTTTTAATAAAATACTTTATTATTACCATTGAGAGAGCGTTTTATTTTTGCTGTACATTGAAAGCAACCCTCAATTTTATAGTAAGAAAAATGGTCCAAAAACTTTAAACGTGTTTTTGTCAAAACGACTTTTTTCAAACTGGTCGCATTGAACTCGATTAAGTAACAATTGATTTTCAATAATTTTTTTTTGTTATATTCGTCTTTACAATGGCTAAGGTTAAACGTAGCTGACTTTGAAGATTTTGATTATTAGTATTTTTTAAGACTGCTTAAATGTAAGAAAAGGGGCAAAAAAAGTGAAAAAAATGTTGTCGCCATTTTGTAAAAAATCAAAATAAAAAATGGCTACGTACAACGATAAATATATTCATATAGATTCTAATGCAATGTGATTTCTTTTTTTCAGATAACTCATCTTTGGAAAATCGATGAGACTATGGGGAGGTGGATTTTTTTTTAAGGGTTTACGGTAAGGCTCACTTTGTAACAACTTAATATCTTTTAATAAAAACTTACGTGAACCAAGTTGAATCTACACTTAATAAAATAAAAAAAACGATCCCCATATTCCTTAACTGTCTCAATCAAAAAATTCACGAAAATCGCTCACTTTTTCGACCGTCACAGTGGCTATCCCCCTTAAATTTTAATTTTGACACCCTGTATTTTGAAAATGGGGTTCCGAAATGAAAAGTGGCATAAGAAAAGTCCCATTATTTTAATCCAAAGAATTTGTGGTTAACTGCTTGACCTACTAATTTGTAACACCCTGTGTATAAAAATATAAAAGTATTTTGATTTCTACTGGTCGTTTAAAAGTGTAAAAGGTGATTTTGCTTATAAAAATAATGGTACGATTCAAGAGAAATGTTTTGAAAACTCAATATTAATGGTTCGATTTTTTAAATTAATATTTTGGAAGAACTTATTTTGTTAGTTTAGCAATTTTTTCAAAGTTGATATGTTTATTATTGGTAGTAAATTGCACTCACAAAAAAAACACTAAATTCCTGAAGTTCTAAAATGTTGAACGATCCCTGATAATATGAAAATGTACCAAAACTTTGTTTTAGTTTTTCAAAAAATTAAACAGTTTAATTTTACAAACAACTAAAAGATCTTGAGAGATCTTCTTTCAAGTTGATGAACTTTGGACTAAAATTTGATAAAAGCAAGAAACTTTTTGTTTTATTTCGATCAATCAATAGAGAACGTTTGTACTCAAAAATAATAGTACAAATTCCTACTAAATACTTTGAAAACTCAATATTAGCGGGGTTACAAACTTTTTTATTTTTTCTTTAAATTTTGTCATAATTTTTTTCCGTTTAGCGATTTTTTTCAACCGTTGAATTTCTGTTAAGCGACCGCTGATTTCTTGAAACAACACAAAACTTTTGTGTGCAAAATATTGGTTAAAAAAAATTTGCAGTTATGTACCTCTGTTAAAATTGACTTCAAAAATCGAAAAAGTGTGACAGAAATCTTTACAGCTGCGGACAAAAAAAAGTTTCGTTTAGGTCGGAAATTTTTTATTATCCACAGCTGTACTAAATTTGTTCATAATTCCGAATACCCTACGTCACGACAACAACCGACAAAATAAGTATATCACCTCGATACCATCTCCTTCAGCTTGTTAATATCTTTGGTGGCTTCGTCAGCCTTTTCCTGGGCCCTCCTGATGCATTCCTGCTTCGATCTCGTCTTGCGCCTGACTTCGTCCCACATTTCCGGTTTGATCTCGTTAACGGCCTCATCGATGATGTATTCAATATCTTGATTGTACGTTTTCAAGATAAACACTGCCTTGTTGTAAGCGTTTACGGCTTCTTCGGCCGACTTGCAAATATTGTCCTCTAGCTCCCTTAAATTTGCGGTGTCAAAACCCTCGGCTTCATTTGATGTCGGTTTCACTTCGCCAACTAGACGACAAGGAGGGTAAAAACGGTATAAGAATTTACAGATTACTAATAAAAAACAAACCATATCAGCTTTAATACTGTTTTACATTCATCAATTTTAGACGCAATAATTCATCAAGAAAAAATATGAAAAAGTTAAAAAATATGCGCTGATCTAAAATTCACAAATTTGTTAATAATACAGAGCCTTCACAAGTGATTACAAGCCATGTGACCAGTACTTTTGTTTGCAGAACAGTAATTTTATTTCCCTCACGTTGACAATTAAATTTCGGCTGGTGATCGGCATAATTTTTTATGAGATCTTATGTAACGAACCAGGGATCGCATTATTTCGAGCGTAGATGTAACAGTTTGTCATTGTTCATCATAAATGAATCAATCCTTGGCGGTCGTGTGGCTTGTAATCATTTATGAAGGTTCTATATATATAGAAACAGAATATAAATCTTGTACGCTACAGTTAAATATATCGCTGGAGCTGCAAATAAAATAATAATTTCGTATCATAAAAGTAAGGGAAGATTTTAATTCCACAGTAGTATTGACAGCAGAACAATAAAAGTTGTGTGAGGTACGATTAGGGGGCCTAACTGCTAAAAAAAAATTAATGGCATTAGGATATCTGGATTACTTTTATGTAACAGTATATGCAAAAATTTGAAGAAGCTTGAATTGATCAAAATAAAAATGTGTTGATAAAGCTTTATAATCTATCAAATTCCTATGAATATTGTACATGATATCCCAAAATGGAGAGCAATTATACATAAAATAATGAAAACAGAACATTATCACATGATTCACGACCATATCTAATCATCAAAACCCAATTTTTTAAGCAAATATTGAATGTGATCTGAAAAAGTCAAATTACTATCGCAGTAAACTCCCAAATCCTTTACGTATCCATGCCTTTAAGATATCTGACTTGATTTTGAAGCGGAACAGGAACAGGGCTTCATTTTACACGTATAGTGCATTTGGAAATACTTGTATTTATATATAAATCATTTACTTCCCACCAAACTACTTTATTTAATTGGCTCTGAAGGTGTAAACAGTCACCAACATTCAAACTCAAAGAAAACCACAGCATATATTAATTAGTAACAATTAAGATAAACCGTAAAGTCATTGACAAAATTAGAGAATAGAAGGGGACCTAAATTAGAACCCTGGGGTACTCTAGAAGTAATAAGATACTGACTAAACTCAAATCCGTTGTAAGTGACATTGTAAACAACTCAACAAATATTAATTAAAATAGTTATTTTTGTATATAGAATGGGAAATGGTACTTTTGCATTGAACAATGGAAGTTATTTTGCCGAGCTTAGTGAGGCAAAATATCCATTTGAAAACGCAAAAGCATTCCGCGTTCGAGATGGAAACAATATTTTTTCGAAAACTGCAATAAACTAAGAATCGTCTTATATAAAACAATTTAATTTATATTTGAAATTGTTTGAACCGTGTTTAAATCAAGACGATTTAGGCGCGGTGACTACATAACGATAGCAAGCTAATAAAGAATAAAAGTTGATTGTTTGACAAAGTAGTGTCAGGATTATATATTGTAATTCATATTTTGACGGGCATTTACCAGAAGAAGTATTGGAAGCGGCACAAAGTGCTGTTTCACAATTAATCCCCAAAAAATCGTCGAGACAGTACACGATAGCTTACAACAAATTCAAAGGGTGGTGTAGTTCGAAGAAAATTCAAAAAGTGTTCGAAGCGGTATTACTGGCATAATTCGAACATAAAATTAAACCTTCGTTATGGTTAGTATATACCATGTTAAAAACTAGACTGAATGCCAAAAAAAAGTGTAAATATCTGAAAATTACCAAAACTAATACCATATTTAAAAAGCAAATCAGTTGGATACCGTCCGAAAAAGTCCAGAATTCTAACGGAAGAGGAAATTGAGAGATTTTTATAAGCATCTGATAATCGATTTCTGTTGGAAAAGATCATTCAAATTAATATAAGTCGATCGATTTAACTAACTTTGGACAACTTTTCAGGGCATTTTAATAGTTGATGTTTGTGGAGCTTTGAGGAGATAAGCAACTAAAGATAACGATCGATGATGTAGAAGACAAAGATTCAATTATTCTTATAAGAAATCTCAATTCCAAAACTCATACTCCAGAGATGTTTTGTGATTTCAAGTCTAGACCAAATGAAGATATACCGCAAATACTGTGCTTTTTGTGAAATATGTCAGGGAAAAATGTGTTGACATCAACAAAATAAGAAATGTGCCAAAAGAAATAGCAATTTATCTCAGTTGGCCACATTCGGAAACTTATACAAGGCACTGCTTTAGACGTTCTTCCGCCACTCTGTTAGCTGATGCAGGGGCCGATATTACCACCATTAAACAATATGGGGGGTGGTGTTCTAGTAAGGTATGGGAGACATATATAGAAAATTCTATACAAATCAAAATTATTAAAATCGCAAATAAATTGTAACCATCTTCAGCAGAGCCTACGGAAATTGCCAATAATACAACGTGCGCAGTAAACTTAAACAATTACAGCAGCAGCTTCATTGAACACGCAGAACTGAAAGCTACGATAAATGACAGCACTGGATCTGGCATAAATTTAACTCACTGCAATATCAGCACTTTCAATTTACATGTAGTGCAAAATAAATTGTAATCGTTCGGTTTATAATAGTTACTGTTTTGTATTAAAATGTTATATTACTTAAAATGTATATTGTGTAATTAATAAAATCATAAATAAGTTTTGAAAAAATGACACACTATTTTTACACTCGTTTTATATTCCAGAACGGGAAAGACTTTGGCGTTCTAGAACATAAAAGTATTTGTCAACTGAAAATTTAACGAAAATGTCGACTTTTGATGACAGTTTTTGAAAAAAGTTGTAAGAAATTACCACAAAACCTGTATTCCCCAATTTTTTGCAGAAGTATGTTGCGATCTACATCCAAATTGTGACATATTATGGAACACATATTAATGTAAATTGAGTGACCATATAAGTACTTTCACTATCAAAATTGACACGAAGATTGAAAAATTTAACTTCGATTAACGATTATTTTTTCTCAATTAATACGGTTGGTGGATCAGGTCCTTTTGATATAAAATCTCGTTAATAAGGCAATTCTAGTGACTGAAAATGAATTAGTATTTCATTTATGTGATTATATTGGTTAGCTTAAAATAAAACGCGAAACTTCAAATAGCTCGAATATGAAACTGAACACTGTATGCACAATAAATTGGCATTTTACCAAATCTATTTGAATTTGTATTTACTATTTACGATGATTATTATTATTATGATTAGTTAGTTAATAAAACATATTTCCAGCAGAATACAGCGCTTTTTGTATTTATATAAATACTAACGTGTATAAAAATTTACAATTGCTTCTGATTAAAAACTTCTAAAATAGTAAAATAGTAATGTAAAATGTTTTTACAAATACAGAAATATGTAACCAATTGATAAATTGTATATCCTACTATTTTTATGTATTGCGTTCTAAAATTAATAATAGTTATTAAAAGAATAAATACCAATTTCTACTTTGGGTTCCGGTTGCCCTTTATCCTTCCTTTCAAGCCTAATTTCATTATAAGTGGGCTCCGGCTTTTTCGTTTCTTTTTCTATAGCTGGCACTATCGGTGGAGGTGCTATTAAAAATTAGTAGGTTAAATACAAAGTTATGAACACACTTCATCAACCGTTTAAAGCTTATCAGTACTAACCTTTATATTCCTGTGGTTCGGGGACTGGTGTCACAGTCCTACCTGTTTTTGATCTACTACCTCCAGACACCAAGTCGATGATGGTGCTTTTTATATTACCATAAGTGTTGGATAGAATATTTCCTTCGCCCTCTTCCACGAACAATATTTTTATCAAGGTGTCAGTGAACGGGACATACTCTACGAGAACTTTTCTAAAATCTGGATCGTATTTGGCGTAACCCAATGTGGCTCCCCCAGCTAATGCGAAAGCACTTAATGCTAGTAGTGTACCCCCTCCGCCAGACTTCTTCGTTTGATGCTGGTGGCTACTGTAAGTTTTCACAGAGGGCAAAGATCCAAAAAGAAACTTTTTACTGTGAGAATTAAAAAACCGGCAAGATTTATATTCGGGGTTCTGACGTGTCCTCTAAAAAATATATTGATTATTTATTAAAAATTACATTTAGGTTATGTATTATAAAAAATATTTGCAAATAGTATTGACACAGTATGAAATAGTATTTAGTTTGTTACATTGAGGAAAATAAAAAATTCCGAATTGTTTAATTTTCTGTAGGTAAGTTTATTTTTAAAGAATGATCAAAAACTGAAAGATGACATAACATGCTATGAAATTAATAACATGATAATTATATCTTTTTTAAATAGAAACTTACCCATGGAATTCTTTTATCTGGAATTCTTCTAATAACTCTCAACATTTTTTGGAACAGCCACTTTGGGAACGTTTATAAAATCGGTAAAAATAGGATAAACCCCGATATTTCAATTCTGTCGGGCCGTCATCAGTTGCGGTAGAAATAACGTGATGTTTGGTAGGGTTTTAATTGGAGGTGAGTTATTAGGTTTTTTAGTATGCACAAGGGATTTACAAGACTTTTGACGTATCTTGGAAACTGCAATGCTCGTAAAATTTGAAATGCCTCCTAAATTTACTTGTCAAAAAGCTGCGAAGGAATAATCTTTTGTTTTTCAAGTGAAAGGTTGAGGTTAAGGTCCAGTTATTTTTTTTGATATTGGTAGTCTTGCAAATTTCCCTAAATAATTATTTGCTGTCTCTCTTTGACACAGAGAAAAATTCAAAATTATGTTATGTAAATTAATTGCATCCAACGCAATAAAATCAAAATAACTTGTGTTGTAATTCGATAATTGAAAATGTACAGATATATTTTTCTTTCAGCGGCAAGAATTGCTACTGCTGCAGTCTCTAATTCCAGACTTCTTGTACAAAATGTAACAAATCCAAGTTTAATAATCGCTAATAATACGAGATGCTTTAGTTCCCTTTTAAGTAAAAATTTACCATCCAGTCAACTGTTCCTTAGTAAAAACTCGGCAGATGTTGATAATGTGACCACAAGAAGTGTTACAAAATATTCAATTAAAACAGGAAAAAGAAAATCAGTAAAAGCGGTGTTAAGAAGATTTTACAGATTACATTGGGGTATTTGGATAAGAACGAAATGCGGTCGTCATAAAAAGCTTTGGAAAAAGAGTCCAGCAAGGAAACGAAGACTTCGTCAACATGTATTTTGTAATGCTACTCAGAGTACATTGTTGGATAAAATGGTAACACATTTCTGGAGGAAGCCAAAATACTACGTGGATGATCCTTATGAACCATACCACACCAGAGAAGAATGGCAATTTACGTATACTAAACCTAGGCCATATTTCCCACCTGAAGAAAAGTAATAAAAATAGACACAAGTATGTATAAAATGTATTTCATTTTTTATTAATAAAAGTTGTATAATGTAATAAATGCACAGTATAAAGTCAGTTAATGATATTTAAGCTATTACATTTCTTAATTTTCCAATGCCCTCGATTTCACTTTCCAATACATCGCCTTTCTTCAAATATTCTGGGGGATTTCGGTGCATACCCACGCCTGCTGGTGTACCGGTTAAAATTATATCTCCTGGATACAATGTTACAATTCTAAAAATTAAAATACCGTTAGATTTATAGGGTGCAAGTAAAATGTTTAAGCAATTTCGATGAACTCTGTCAAAAAACTGCATATGAAAATTACTATGTTCACTATTAAAACACATACAGGGTGTAACACATCTGTGTGGCACCCTATACATTCTATACAAAAGGCTACTACAAGTACTTACTAGTTATTTTTACAAATTTGATTTTTTGACAGAGAACATATTAAAATAATAATTATAACTGTACTTACTGAGATAAATAAGAGACCAAGAAGTCAATTTTAAAAATCAGTTCCGACGTATTTCCATTTTGCTTGAGTGTCCCGTTAACCCATGATTTGATGGCTAAGTTATTTGGATCTACTTTATTCTTTGTGATAACTGCGGGTCCTAACGGGCAGAACGTATCCATGGATTTTCCTAAGAGGAATTGTCCATTGTTTCTTTTCTTTTGCCAGTCTCTCGCGCTAATATCTTGAGCTACGGTGTAGCCGAAAATGTAATCGTTGACTTGATCTGGCCGAATAGCTTTAGCTTGCCTTCCTATAACGACTGCCAGTTCTACTTCCCAATCAACGTTCTAGAATACCAATAAATTGAAAATAGTTCAAACGTCATTGACGTTATTGGAATTTTTTGTTATGGTCGTGACATAAACTAACACATGAGCAAATATTTATACGGGGTGTATTTAAATGATGGAAACAAATGCTATCAGATAATCTTGATGTCAAAATATGACCTTTGACATTTAAAAACATCACAAATTTGTTTTCTTAAATTCCATCAGGAAAACTTAAACCTTTTTTTTTGATACGCCCTATATATGTGGACTAATTGTCATATTTTTGCCTCAAGATTATCTGACAGCATGTGAGTTGCTTCCTTTAAATACACCCTGTATACTTATGTATTTGTATTTATTAAAAAAGTATTGAAAAATTAACGACATAATTTAGGTCAGTGAAGAGGATGAAAATTTCGAATATTTTCCTTGATAGTGTGATGTGTTAGTTTTTTAAACCATTTTTTTTTGTACATACAGAGAATTTTTGAAAATTTGAGAACAATTTTTATGCGAGGCACTAAATATTAAGCAAACTTATGTAACATCTACATAATGGGTTACTTTACATTGATATCAACTTTCACAAAACGAAACGTTCTACGACCTCATTAATTGCATCAATAATTTCTATATTTACATACGATTAATCTTTTATGTATAGGATGTAGTTGATTTTGGAGGAATGTTATTATATTTTAATGCGATGTGCATTTGTTCGTCTCTTTTAAAGACACTTACATCTGTTATTGGAGGTATAACCACATTATCATGAGGGCCTATGATAGTTGAGGAAAATTTGCTAAAAATCATAGGCTCCTGAGGGAAAGGTATGTTCTGCTCTTCACAGTGTCCTTTATAGTTGAGACCTATACAGGCTACTTTATCTGGTTTTGTAATTGGTGATAGCAAATCTACGCTGCTTAAGGGTGTTACAGATTTACCAGCTGCTACTATCCTGTAATCAAAAAAAAATTCATATTAAACTTCGTTTCAATAATTATCGTAAAAAAGAGGTTTTAGTTTACAATTTAAGCAGAGTAATTTTTGAAATCAATTATTTTAATAGTTTCAAAAATTAGTTTATTACAATCTGAAAGTATTTTACATTTTATCAGATGTTTTTTTTTATTATCATGAAGCAAGAATGGGCTCATTTAGCATTTTTTTATTTGCTTCATGGAAAAATATTGCAAATTTAAGGTCCTCTGCAAAAAATTAGAATTTTATGTGTATGAGTATCCGCTGAACCGGCATGTGTGACGTCACCGCATGGGAAACCAATGCCACTTGAGTAAATACAGAACTTATATTGAGCAATATGGAGAAGACACAGAACAGAAAAAAATTACAAATATTGTATTGTTCCCCAGTGTGAGAGCACTAGTGTGAAGACGCCTAAAAAAATAATAATGTCCCCATAATTCTGTCGTGTGGATCTAAAATCAATAGTGTATTAGTCTCTACATTGATTTGTTTTTTTTAACATCTTTTATTTGAATAAATTACTTATTTTGAAAGGAACAAAACTACCGTGCGTAATTTAGGTATATAATAAATAGATATGTTTGTATCCTCTAGAAACACTATACAGTATGGAGTATGTGATACAGTTGTGTTTTTCATTGCTGATTTTTTTTGTAAATATTATACAAATAGGTACTAAGTATTTATATAAAAATACATAATAAATATTATATTATTAATACATATATTTATAAGATATTAGGGAGATTTTATGTAGTTTCCATGAGAATAAAAATAGTAATAAGAATTTTGTATTTGATTAGGTAAATCTTTGAAACCTGTGACAGAAACGGTTTCGTCCAATTAAACGCAAAATCCTTATTCTTATTTGCTATTTTTATTTTACAAAAACATCAAAACTTTCGCTACAAACGTACTTTAAGGGCCCCATATTCTTTAAATAGTGTTTTCCGCAAAGACATAATTTCAAACATTTAATAACTGAATAATTTAAAGCTTATCAAATAATAGGAATGTTATGTCATGCCACCTGAGTATTTTCAAAGACGCCGCAGTAAAACGAATAAACAGGTGCAAAAAAACGATCAAACCATCAAGGTTTTAGGTACTGAAATCTACGAAAATACTAACTTTTTTATATATAATTCCACATGTAAATATTCTTATAACATTTACTTGCTTAGTACTACATATAAAATTGTTTACTTTTATTTATAAGTACGTGAAAATAATTCTTAAAATGTGGGGTTAGGATAACAGAAAACGCATGTTTTACAAACGCTTTTTTTAGTTATTATATTATTTGGGTAAATTTAAATGGTAACAATGAATAAACAAAACATCAAGGATTTTATTTTTGTGCTTACTTTTTTTCTACACGTTTTACTTTTCAAGATTTCAGTACCTAAAAATGCCAGAAATTTCACCATTTCTCGGCCAGGGATATGGCCACCTTAAAGAAGCTTTACACGTTATTAAAACGTAACCTTTGCATTTTCACTCTTCTCATCTCAGCACTGATAAAAGTCGTGGTTTTTATTTAAAAAATCCATAACCATTAACAAACCTACTTCTGGAAAATTAGAAGAATGTGCTTTTACGAACTTGCTTCCATTTTTTAAATTTAATATACACTAACTCTATAACATTATGTAGATGCAGAAACTATCTGGAAGTAGCGCCAAGCCGGCTGACCGTCCCATGCGGTGACGTCATTGCATTGCCACGGCTGAGACAAATATTCGCATTTTAAAAATCATATAGCTTGAAAACCGCTCAACGGATCGAGTTGAAATTTTTAGGATCGCCTAATCATGAGCAATACTTTGGGTACACAATAAGAACGTTTTTGAAAATTTACTAATAACAGTAGAAAATATGGAAAAAAGTCTATGTAAAATATATGTTTAAAACCTGTGTCCAAAATTTTTTAAATTGGTTTGAGTCTAGAGGTGTTCTATATTCAAAAATTATTAAGTCCAGTTCATATATTTGAAGTCAATTCATTGTTTTCTGAAAATATAAAAAAAAAATCAAAACAGTTCTGCAACTTTCGTATTTACAGTTTTTTCTCAAAGAAGTATTAGTAGAGATAACTTCGAAGATATGTACATATAGGAAATTTTAACCACATATTGTATTAATCAAAAGCAACAAGTTTTGTCTAATATAATTTTTTCAGAAAACCTCTGTGTTCAAGATAACTTAATTTTTTAAAATTTTTGTACACGCCACTGTAGCATAAGTTAAAATTAGTTAAGTTAATAATCAACAGGAAGGAGTATTTATAGTAACCAAAAATTTTAAGGTAAATTTCATTTTCGTATTTAATCCATACGTAGTTGATGTTATTTTAATAAATACAAAATACCTAACAGAAATTTTTTCTAAAAAAATGTATTAGACAAAAATTGTTGCTTTTGATTAATAAAATATGTGGTCAAAATTTTGGCATTTATTTCTAAAACATCCCGTATATATGACCTTGAAGAGTGCATCGGATGTCATGGAAGGTTATCTCGATTATGACTAATTGTAAGACAAAACAATTTATAAACGTTGGTCGTTTATTTGAAAGAAAAAAATCTTCAAATTTTTATTAATGTTGAGCCTTATAAATAACAACTAAGATAAGGGAATAAGAATATATTTCCCAGGTGTAACGTCATACGAGTAACTAAATTTTACTCATATGTTTAACGTTATTGTTATCTGTAATTGGTGATGGTGGGGGAGTGTAAAATTGGCAGGATGCGCAGTAGCTTGTTTTTATGTTACAGCTTCGTCAGTTTCATCTTACATAATCAATCTAGATATATTATCATTATCAGATAGCATTGTAGACATCAAAAATATTTTTTATCTTATCACGGATGGTTTTTAAATGTTGTTAACAATACTAAACGAAAAAAATAATATATTACATCTTTAATTTCCGTATCATTTATATTAATAAAAATTTATCTCGAAATTTATTCCGATTTTTCAATGTTTCGTGTATAATGATGAAGCGGAATCGTATTTATAAAACCAAATTTCAAAATAAAAAAAATATTGAATAATTGTAGTTCTATTTTAGTACAGTTGTTTTGACGTCAATGCTATTTTTTAATAGTGGATGTTTATAATGTAGATATATAGTAACCGCCGTTCTATTATTAAATATGAAAATATGTGATTACAGTTATTGATTAAGACTGAACAAAAACGTAATAAATGTTGCAGGGCATCTGCAAACCACTTCTACCATTCCAAAAAATATTGATTTTCATCAATTAAAAGCTATTTATACGCGCTTATATTCCTTACTTTTTACTCACGTTGTTAGCTGTGTCAAAACACTTAAAATTTATTTTTGGAATTCCTAGAGATGGAAAAAAAATCTATATAACTTATTTGCATTTTCACTCAAATTATTACAAATATCAGATTTGTAATACATATTTTCCAATTACCTACTGCTAATGAATGGCCATACCTAAGTGTGTTTTACTTATTTATTTATTGTAAAACAATAACTAACATTAATACAAGGCCAGTCAGTCAGCAAAAATGAAAAAAAATGATGTATTTGAATTGTTCTTGGGAAATTAACCATCCTGATAACCATTATTACATAAAACCAACTGCCTATAATACAATTATATGGCATCAGTGGCGTACGCTGCTTTGACCCTTGGGGGGGGGGGATATAATAGAAAATATATTAATGAATAAGGTTATTTTATATTAATTTCAAACATTACAAAATAAAATCTATGCGTCTTGGCTATCACCTGCATATAAACCTGAGTTCATGGGGGGGGATATATCCCCCTTATCCCCCCCCCGACCGTACGCCACTGTATGGCATTATTCGTTATCAAGTCTTTTAAAGATCCAAACTAGGCGCGACACGCAAATATGTACAATGTAAATATGATAGTGATATACTCGTAAATATAAAAAAAATATATTTTTGTATATTATTATTGTAGATTTATAAAATGGTCTCCAAAATTCTGCATGCTTCTTCTGCATATATAAAGAACAATCAGTTAAAAACGATAGGAAATAACATTTTAAGACTATGGTTTAACCTGTACTAATACCAATTATTTGACTGTCCAACTGACTTTTTTCTCTACCTATTTTTCCAGTAGTAAATTAACATTTTTCTAATTTTTTTAAAATTTAAATTTAGAGGTATTCTGTAGGTTGTGTCTAGACTATAAAATTACTTCAAATATGAAGTGGTTATGACAAATACAAGTATTTATGTAACAGCCTATCGTATATCTTCCATTGTTTTCCCAATAAGAACGTTCTGTGTTTTTTTTATATACGAAATCGTACGCACATTTTTATCTGCTACTTCCATGTTGAGTGCTAAGTACTAAGATTTGATAATTATTGGGTAAATATTAGCAGATTTGTGAGCAGTGGCAGCTTGTGGATCTACACTGAGGGAAATTGTCCTTTAATCATAATTAGAAATTGATTAACCCTGACAAAATATCTACTTTAAATACACATTTTTAAATGCCTAATATAAACACTGCAGTTGATACTGCGCATAAATAAAATATATGGGTAAGAATCGACGATCGTCTGCTTCGTACCGAATAATATTAGGACAGTGTCCCCGCCCTTACTTTCTTTCTTTTTCATTTTCATGCTTTGTGCATATTGTCTGTTGCATTCCAACTAGAGTTACCAGATCTATTTCATGGCAGACCCGGAGAAATTTAATGCCTAAAAAAAAGGTTTGGAAAATCTGGGAGTCAAGTTGTTTTCAAAGAAATCGATCTCTAAAAAAAAAGGACGTACTCAGGAAATATCTACTTCTTTGTATAATATTGACCCCTAAAAAAAAAGGTTCTGCAATCGGACCCGGACAAATCGGCCTAAAAAAAAGAAAAAAGACGCAATCAGGACCCGGGGAAATAGATTTCGGGAGTAGAGCGTTGTATAATTGATGTCTAAAAAAAAACACAGAAAATGTCGAAAAAATCACGATTTTCCCTCAACAAACAAAACCCGGAGCCCGAAGATGTAACATTTAACTTAACAATGTTAACATCAACGGCCATTTTGTTTGGACTTCATTTGTTTTTCTACTATCATTTTCGAAAAATTTACAAAAACTCGTGCAACTTTTATATTTCACATTTTTTTATAGCTCTTAAAACAAAAAAGTTAAAGGGGGGTCAAAATATAGTGAATCACCCTGTACATATAGAAATATTTTTTATTAACTTCTTCCAAGGTTCGCGCCAATAATATTGCTACAAGGAAATACAATTTGGTTATAATGTCGATTTCTATTTTAGAAATTAACTTTGGTTTACTAATTATAGTAGGTAATTATTATGCAATCAAGGGTCATTCAAATTTAAATATTGTTATTATGTCATCTAGATACTAAATATAGTGGATAAGTTAATATTACATAGTGAATTATTAAATAACTTCAAAAATGATTTGTTCAAAAAATATGTATTTAGGTATATAAAAAAGTACAAACAATATTGGGACAATATTTTGAGGTAATCAAAATATATACAAGAAATTTTTATGAAACCTCACCACCATAATGGATTATTAAAAAAATAATCACACATATTATATATTTTTAATACTATAAGTTTTTGCGTGATTGAACCTCATTAAGAGATATATATTCAGTCTTTCGTGTGAATAAACGTATATCTTAAGAATTGTTTTTAAAAACACATTGCTTAATTAATATTAATTGCAAAATATTGCAATGTGTTCATAGATAACGTTTAAATTTCGATTCACAGAAATTGCAGGCAGTTCTAAATATTTGGCAATGGCTTTTGTTTCTTAATAACATATATATAGCACTAATGATGAAGAAATTTTGTATTATTTGTACAATATAGACTGATAGAACATTAATACATAAGAATTTTTAATTCTAGCCATATCTGTTCCAAAAAACAGCATATTGTAGTTCTTTAAAATGAGCCATCGTTTATTAAAGTCAATTAAGGCATTCAGAAGTTATGTCCATTTAAAAATTTCAAGATGGCGTCCTTGATACTGGCGTTGCTATGGTAATAACAAAATAAAAGTTCAAACAAAAGTTGTGAAGGGTTGTATTTAAAAAGTGATTTTTCAACTTAGGTTATATATAGGCGAAATCTCTAAAAACCGACAATTCTCTGTAAAACTATAGCAGTTGCGCCCCCTAGCAGTGAGGTTACAAACTTGATAATATTTTAAATCAATTTCTTTTGGCCGTATTTGTTAATAGATTTTTTTACCCCATAATCGTAGCACGTCTAGTTTCCTATATACAGTCGCTCGATACCGTTAACGGATCACCCTGTATATTATTTTTGAATATGGCTAAAATTTGATCGTATTATTTTTTTATGTTTTATACTGTCAGCCCTCGAATTTTTGGTACACACACTGTATGTTTGACCTTTATTTCGTTCGTTTTTTTCTACAAAATAAAGGGAAACTTTTTTACAAATATAATAATGTCAAGTTTAACAGGTTATCTCTATTTAAATATAGTAGGACCATATTCGATGCAAAGTAATTCATTGCCTGTCAAGGGATCCAGTGCCATACGCTTTTAAGGGTTTTAAAAATTGAATAAGTTATTTATACATTATGAAGGGTCGAAGGGATCAGTTCACGTTTGGCACCCTTATTCCTACAAAAATTCCTTTATTCTCATAAACTATTTGTTTTAAATGTAATTTATTATAAATCCAATTTGTTTTTTAAATTCCACATATGTACTACATTTTACCTCTGTACGCGTCACTGTCGTTTACTTGTTTTTTGGAGGCGCTCTTTCATTTACGATCAAGCTCGCCAGATTAGTATTTGACGTATAACCGACCACTTCGTACACTCGATGCACCTGGGCGACTACAGCTACTACCAGAACACAGTGCGTATGCAGCGGTATTTCAGATTTAACATTCAATTTCATTTTAAATTTGAAATGGTTCATCTTACGCCTCCTAAAAATGATGACACGATTTTCCTTTGATAAAAGACCGACAACTTTTTGCTCTACTTTGCATCGAATACGATCCTACTATAGTGAGGGAGATATGGTCAACAGAGAACAGATTACCTAAACATTATTATGTTGTTTTGGCAATCAAAATCTTCGTTTAACGCATATTATACAGAGTGTTTGTAAATAAGTGCGAAATATTTTAAGGGGTGGTTGTCGAAGTTATTTTGTGAAAAAAAGTTCATGCAAACGTAGGTCGGAATTTGCTTCGTTTCCGAGATACAGAGGGTTTAAATTTTTATTTTATTTTTATTTATTTTTATTAATTATTTAGAGTTTTAAAGATATTGTCTCGAAATTTGAAAAACACTTTGGAGGTATAAATGTGCACTTTTTAGGGTGATCCGAATATTTCTACTTGCACCAGTGGCGTTCGTGCGAGAATGCTACAAGCTTTTTTTAATAAAAAAAAATGGTACGCCTCTAACTTCTTCGCGTGTTGATATTTTTTTAGAAATCCTCCAGCAATTCTGAATGAAATTTGTCTCTTCAATTTTTTTCGTAGGATGCATCGTTTTTGAGGAAAAAAATAAAACGTATTTTATTGCAAGTTGAGTATTTTTAATTCCTATTGATACATTATCTAGTAGGTTGCTGTCAATATTTCTAAATAAAATACAACCATCAAATCGAGTCAGTATCTTTGAAACTCTTTGAAATAATTAATAAGAATACATAAAAAATTAAAATTTAAACTGTATCTCGTATATATGTATCATATTTCGGCCTATGTTTATATGAACTTTTTTTCACAAAATAACTTCGGCAGCCACCCCCTAAAATATTTCGCACATATTTACAAACACCCTGTATAGGTACCTCTACTTTTATATTGAAATAAGCACACTCCTTCAATCACATTTCCAGTTACTATTAGACTCGAACATTGTCATTGTAACCTTAGATAAAGCGTCATAGTAGAAATGACAAATATACTAGGTGTTCTATTAAAAAACTCCAGTTTATATTTTCGAAACGCAACATTCAATTGTTTCTTTAAGTAAGTAGGTGGAGCTTTGAAATTACAACAAACTTCCTTAAAATTTTTGCCCTAAAGGGATATTTGTGAATGAATATAACAACCCTGCGCATATGTTCATTCAGTCATATGTTTTAATGGAAATCGAAAATACGACTCATAAACTCATATGATGACAGAATAATAAGGTCTGCTGTCTTTTGTTCACGTCAACTTGATTTTTGAATGCTTAATAATAAACGTCACGCGAAACGTACTGTTTGTAATGAAGTACGTCTGAGTAGCTACATAATCCATATTTTGATTATCATGTTGCAATTTGCAATTATTCCCTCTCTTCACCTGTAAACATGTGATTAGAAACGTGCTTATTGAAATTACACACTTATTAAGATTAAATACAAACCAAATAAAAGGTATTTACATAACACGGATTCGAAACGCGTAAACAACTACAATCCTGCTACCCGCAACGGCTTTATGATCTGCATGACAATTAAGCTGGGTACCTTAGTGATAAAATAAAAACGTCTTACCTTTTCGCTTTTTCGTAAGTACCATTCCCAGTGGCCAAGAATTTCACTAGGGAATTGGGGATGGAGGAGTCTACGGCACTGATATCGAAAATATCCCCCTGCGGCGAAATTTGCGCCCCCAACTGCTGAGGTCCCCCGGTCTTGAGTCTGTATTGCACGAACCTCATTTTCCTGCTACTGGATAAACTGAAATTCCTTATATTGTCGAACGAGTAAGCATTTATCAACTTTTTTAATGAGTGAGAGCCCAACCGCGTTAATGAATTATTAAATAAATTAACTGAGGTCATATTTTTAAGTTAAATGGATTTATCGTGTAAAAACTCTAAAACAACTGTTCAGTGATAACGATAAGGTGTTAAGACTGCGATCTGATAAATGTCGTTGATGTATTTTTATTTACAATGTTTTTTAAATCGCGGCAACCCATGCGTTCGTCACCGAAACTAGCGACTAAATATGTTGGAAAACGTAAAAACGAGAACCGGTTGGCTTGGTCGGTGTGGTAAGGAGGAATGAGTGAAATGGGTCGCGTAAAATTTATTACCCACCTTTCGGTTCTATTATAGAATCGGTAACCTTCAAGCAACTATCTTGATTTTGTGGAATGTACTTTCTCAACTTATCTATACTTACGAGTATTTTGATACAGTAAAACGTCCTTCGTGAAAAATGGGTGTCATAGATAAGCAAATATGACGTTTTCGTAACGCCTCTCATAAGTACTTCACAAACACATCTGAAAAAAGAAGAAGAATACTTTCTCCGAATTTAGATAATATAGTTTTCTGTCTTTGATAACAAAAATGCATTTTCAATATTTCACGCAAAGGTGGCGCTGGAAAAAGCACTCAGAATTCTGTTCTCGTAATTCGCGAATGCAGCTAAGACAAGAGCTCGCCTTCTGGCGGTGACAAGTGATACTAGCGAAACAAGGTAAATATTTCTTCTGTGTGTGACATTTCGTTTTGTATTTTATTTAAAACTGAATTTAGTGTTCGTTTTTTGAACACTGTTATTTTAAGAAAATAGTGTGAGGAAAATTTCAGCAATTATGGATAGAAAGAAGAAACTGTCAAACTATTATTGTTCAGTTCAAGGTTGCTCTTCATGGTCCAAGAAAAATCCAGAATTAAGTTTTCATCAAACCATTGAAGAAATTTTCAAAATATTATTGCCGATAGATAATACTCCCTGAATTTCATGAGGGTTGTTAGTAAGTAAGGGCACTAGTCTGCAGACATAATATAAATTTCTAAATTTAAATTAACTTTGCTCAATTTTCCCATATAGTACCACATGATCAGCCTTAAAAACTGCCTCTCCTTCTAATATACAACGAGAGTTTTCGTTAGCATATATGTAAATAGGAAATGTATTCACAACGGATAAGTTCATAGTTATAACCTAATAAAATGTACATTAAATTGTAATGCTAGAAACAAATAAAGTAGACATAAATACTTGCCTTAAAATTTATTTATGAAATATTTGAAACCTATAAAATAACACAAAAATCAAATAACCGCAGTTTGATAACAAAATTACTAATAATAATGGCAAATAAGACAAATGTTGTTCAAATGAATGTGTACACGAACGGCAATGTCAAAATTACCTTGTCTCGGAGCTTACTGCTTTCGCCGCTTGGTGCGCTTGCATCTTAAAAATTATCGCGGATTAGAGAACGCTTCTTGAAGTAATGTAACATTTCAGACCTGGCCACTAGATGTCGCAGCACCACTTGAGAACTTGAGAAACTATTTTGTAGTTTCGCCAAAAGATGGCACAAGTCTTCACAAAATATATTAAAATACGATGTCTGCCACATTATTGTAAAGATTGTGATTGGAAACAATCACGAGGAAATGCATAACTAACTACATATCAGAAAAAGAATAATTATACAATAACTTCTTGGTTGTTTTGGACTAAAAAGCCTTAATATGTTTGATGTAAATGCCTAGATAGAAACTGAGTTTATTTTTTGTATATTAAATTAAAAGAAATATTAGTTCAATGGCAAAGGCAATGATGTTGATAACGCTCTTAAGTCTTGTTACTTGAACTGGTTTCCTTAGTCGACAGTATGCATAAGGAGAATACGAAGCGTTCTACTGAGTTCGCAAGAAATGCTTTGACTACTAGAGTGAGGAATCTCTGACTACTTAGTAAGGAATACTCTGATTATAGATTATAGGAGTCTGTCTACTTGTTACTTTCGTTGTTCCTACTGCTGCTGTTGACGCTGTTGTAAGTGTTATTACTGTCGTTGTTCCTGCTGCTGCTGCTGCTGCTGCTGGTGTTGTTGTTGTTGTTGTTGTTGTTGTTGTTGTTGTTGTTGTTGTTGTTGTTGTTGTAGCTGTTGCTGTTACTATTGTAGATCAATAGCTTCAATAACAACGACAACAACAGCAGCGATAGCTGATAACTACAGTAACTACTACTACTACTACTACCACTACTACGGAAACAACAACGACAACAACAACAACAACAACAACAGCAGCGGCGGCATCATCAGGATGATTAATAGCAGTAATAACGACATCTAATCTAACGCAACCATGTTGATAACGCTCTTAAATCTTGTTACTTGAACTGGTTTCCTTAGTCGACAGTATGCGTATAGAGGATACGAAGCGTTCTATCGAGTTCGCAAGGAATGCTTTGACTACTATACTAAGGAATCTCTGACTACTTAGTTAGGAATACTCTGATTATAGATTAAAGAAGTCTGCTTTAGTTGTCACTGTTCCTGCTGCTGCTGGTGTTGTTGTTGTTGTCAATGTTCCTGCTGCTGCTTTAGTTGTCACTGTTCCTGTTGCTGGTGTTGTTGTTGTTGTTGTCACTGTTCCTGCTGTTGTTGTTGTTGTTGTTGTTGTTGTTGTTGTTGTTGTTGTTGTTGTTGTTGTTGCTGCTGTTGCTGTTGTTGTTGTTGCTGTTACTGTTGTTGTTGTTGCCACTGTTGTTGTCACTTGTCGTTGTTGTAGTTGTTATCGTTGTTGTCGTTGTTGTCGTTGTTGTTGTCACTGTTGTTGTTGTCACTGTTGTTGTTGTTGTTGTTGATCAATAGAGTCAGTAACAACAACAACAACAACAGAAGCGGTAGCACGAACAAATCTTGTTCCTTGCACTGGTCCTCGTTACAGATGGAGCAATCGGCTTCACCTTTTGGGGTGGTATCGTCCGCAGTGAGCAGAGTTGTGGTTGGATGGTTGCAGCGGAATCGGACGTGACGGCGAGAATATTGAAAAAATCTGCGAAAATAGATTGTTTTTTTTTCGTTTTTTCCAGTCCCGAATCGAAAGGTGGGTGAAATTTGAAATGAAAATTGCCAGGAAGACAAACCGTATTTTTGAAAATTCGTAATCAATCTTTTATCGCAATCTTTACAGTTTTCAGGTAATTTTGCCAAATTTAGTACAAGAACATATAAAAGTACCTTTTCGGTTAATTTAACTTGTAACAGAACTGTACCAACTTTTAACCAAAAAATAATCAATTCTTTTTTTCTGCGTAGCGCAGATTGAATGGAATCGCCAATGCAGACAAAGAAGGACGCATTACAGAAGAGACACACGGCATTATAATGATTATAAATTATGCGATGAATGAAAATAAACGCGGCCGCCGATAAGTCCAAACGCGAGAGGACGAATGCCGATCGCATGATGAAGATGACGGACAAAAAGGGCATACTTAAAATGATATCCCAGTGATGTAATCTGGCCGGACTAAACGAATGGTTGGTTTTGGAGAAATGCGCTACATAATAAACCCTAATTAAATTAAAATGCCGCAGTCAACTTACAGATAATTGATTGTCGAAACAAAAGGCTTCCGATACCATCGACAGTCATCTGTACGGAGCCATCAATAACACGAATATGACATACGGACAGGACCGGGCCTGATTCCAGTGGACTTTGGAAAAATATAAGTATTTAACTTGGCTCCTGTCGAAAAACACTCTCATTAAACTATGTTACAAAAAATTAATTAATTACAGTAAATATTTTTTTAATTGTCGTAAGTCTTACCCACTCTTTATATGAAAGATCCTATCTTTTTTTCGATGAAGAATCACCCCCTTAAATGTTTTACACTTATTTAGTTACACCCTGTATATGGACATGTGGACTATTATTACCATGGTTCATTTGTGGCTCTTTTTGTCAGAGAGTATGTCAGCAAAAGAATGCAAATTTGAATTTATGATTTCATAAGATCTGCTTGGGATGATTGTATACAACGAGGCACTATTCAACACTGTAGGCGGGCTTGTATAGTTATAGGACTGATATTTTATACAATTTTTCATATTTCAAGATATCATCCGGACTTGGTTCAAATGGAAGTTTTTCATCTCTAAGATACCTATATCTGGATTTTTTCTAACTTTTCTTTTATGTTATTTTGTTTGACAATAGCCTGGTGAATTTGTCTAATCTGAGCAAATGAAGTTGGTGTTAATATTTCTTTCAAAACGTTGTTAATTAATGATGAAGAATGTGATATGTTTTCGAGATACAGTACTTTTTGGTTTCTTCTTTGACCCCTTTACTATTTAGTCAAAGATAAGATGTTTTTCTACATCAATATGAAATTGTGCTCCATTGTTATATAAGCTTTTGATATTTCTTCGGAACTTTCTCCGTCGTCGACATCTAAAGATCCTGTAACAGTATTTTGGAAGGTTCCAATAGAGTTAAATAGCTATGTTGGTCTTTTAGTGAGCACTTTGGAGACTGATGAAATAATAAGGAGGTTTTTGGTATATTATATACCAAAGTTTGAAAACATGGACTATTTCCCATTCTGATATTATATTGTGGGCTTCTCCAAGGTGTACTGGTAGAGATCCCGGGTTGATTTTTATTTCGATGTCTCAGGTTGAAGAAGGGATAAAGGAGAAGGTGCTACAATATATTTTTTTTTCATGGAAGATCAAATGAAGGCTTTGGTGTATATAATCGATTACAAAATATAAACAGTACTTCTCGAGTAGCAGGGTTCTCCTCATGTTTTTGAAAATTTTTAATAATTCAAGTCAGTCCTAACTCGGGGCTTTTAGAGATAGTTCTTTTAGTGATAGCTTCTTGCTTGAGCCAAACTTTCCTATGCACGATTTATCTTTTCAGTCTGTGGAAAGAAAGTGTACGATCTTGTTTGCTTCTAGAGCATATGTATAATTAGGCTCTTCGACATTTCGACATCTTTGTGTTTGTTTGTTTCAAACAGGGTAGATACAGTGATTACAGCCAGCAATTTCTCAAATGGAAATTTTCACGATGCTATAATTTATTTACAGCCTCATCACTGATGGTTTCTTACTTGCTAACTGGGTTCATGAAAAATTTGAAGTCTTCTTTCTTTGATTCTTGATTTTTCTTGGTTTTTCTTAGACTAGGGGTTTGCAAAAGATATAGCGGTACAGTCTTTGGAGATTCTTTCTTGGGCTAGACGAAGAACGACGAAATTTCCAATATTTTCTTGGAAGAACTTCAAAAAAAGATCCGTAAAGTTTCGTACAACAAAGACTTTAACAATGTAATAAATTAATTTTAAAAATAAAGAGCTTATTTCTCCAGCCAATAATTTAGTGCGTAATTAAAGTTATCGAGCACCCAAAACATATGGACATTTTAAAAAAACGACCCTACGGAAACACCCATCGTCGGAAATCAATTTACTTGTCAGCCACATCGCTGTCCGACATAAACTTTATCATCCTTCGTTAATTTCACCACATTTATTTATGATATTTAATTATTCAATTCGCCGCTATGTAATGGCCGAAGTAATGACCCAGAGGAGCAGTTTCCTTCACCTGGGGCCATTTACGCGAGTGTCCGCCCGTTGGCGTATCCATATATTCTCCCCGTAATTGAATTAATGTTAGTTGTGCACCACTATTGGGCGGATTAAAGCGGATGTGAATAAAAATTATGCGCCCATATGAAGAAGCCTTCGGTGCGCGATAAGTTGGCGGCAGGATGTTCGCGTCAAACCAGCCTCGTTTTCTTGAAAGGCTTGACAACGCTGACGAGTCAAAGTATTCTAATTTTAGTATTCGCAATTACGTATAATAAAACTTTAATGGCAACTGTGCTACAACTATTGACATGTCTTTATGAAAACATTTCGAAAATGATATATCCACGTCGATCATTAGATTTGAGGGCAACAGATTCTTATGTCAGGTCAGCTGAATTAGAAGGAATCAGGTAATCACCCTTAGAAAATGGTGGGATTGTTAAAAAAATTAGCATCATTTGGTAACGTTACCTGGTTAGCACCGGAGCTCATTGTCTGTCTCAATCTACTGAGCTACTATTAAGGTTCTGTATTTGTCACTCCTGTTGCGGACTCTCTTCTTGATCTGCGCATCTCGCAAGATGAGTTTTACGTAATTGGCGCCCAACATACAATTTTTTTTTGTTTTTTGAATGAACAACCATAGAGCCTCATAGAGGCAGCAAAAAAATCATCAATTGCATTAAAAAAAGTTACATAATTAATATGGACTTTTCGAAAAAGAGAAACTTGTACCACTATTTTTGTAAGTAGAATCGCTGCTAAATTTGTTGCTTACAGTTACTGAATAATCATAATTTCAATTAAAATGAGAAATCTCGAAATAATACCAAAAGCTGACTTTTCCAATACGCCCCTGATATAAATCGCTCGAAAATCCCCAGAAATAAAAGTAAAGCGCACGTCAATTGTTAGCGGAGACCCTCTTTATGAAATGTTGTCATACAACTCGCTTATCAGATGCCAACTCGCTTATTTGTGTACTAACCAATCCGGGTTGCTTGGTTCTTGGTAAAGCAACAGCCCAGGTCTCTTTCCTTTTTTTTATTTATGTGGCCATGCACTTAATGAGTCGGCGTTAACTGATCCTGATTTAATTGTATTCTACTCCGACAAATTAGAACACCTCCTTAAAGTAGATGTTGTTGGATATTTATCGTTAATTGGATATCATCTTCTGTATTTCACGAATTGCTTGGAAATCAGCAAGAGATTTGCATTTCAAAACAATTTCCAAATACTATTTTTAACAAAAAACCTCATTTAAAAAGAATTTAAAAAGAAAAACTAGAATCTTAGAAAAGATGATAGTCTTTTTAAAATTTAACACGTGACTGTAAAACGATACAGCGTCCCATATGGTAAATATTTTTGGATATATGCTAAAAACAGCTCAATACGAATCCAATAAATTAATCTAAAGTTGCAGTTTATATGAAGTAAGAAGAACCTATAAAAAGAGTGTTGATATTTTAGAAAATGATTTGACATAAATTTTAAATATGAATTTTAAAATTTGAACACTTTGATTCATAGGATATTGCTAAATTTTAATAAAAACCAGCGTCTCAAAAAGTCTCAAAAACTAATAAATTCCATGCTTGAAAATAATACGGCCATCTCCCATATGGACCATTCCCAACAACAGCGGAAACAGTTCAGAATTGTGATTATAGAAAATCGAATGAAAACGGGACCAGATGCCATATGCTAAAGATAAAAATGTTATTTTGGACAAATTAGAGCGGGGTAATTAATATAGCAAAATAATTATTTTGCTATATTAAATTTAGCCAATAAGCTGGGAAATGGCCATTTCGCGACTTTTTGTTTCGGCAAGCTGAATTTATCGCTATAGATGCTAAATATTATGTACAATAACATATTAGTTTCCACAGTCATAAAAATGGGGGGAAGATTGTTTACAGGGTGGTTAATTGTATAATTTTTACGTAAATTCACGTTTTTCGCTTATAACTTTTTTCCGTTCATTTCCACGAGAAAACAGTAATGTACTTTTTTTCGTCTTCAAAAGACCTACAAAACTAGCCCTTGAGCGTCAAAAAATATTGATTAGATCAAAAGTTATAAACAGAAGTTTATTTACTATACTACAAATAATAGACAACCCCATAGTACACATTATTATGAATAATTTCTCAGTAGTTTTACTAGATAGATTTTTGACCCTATGTATTTTGGACACAAGTGCCAAAAAAATGTCTTCTTTGGCGATATTCTGGCAATATTAGAAATACTTAAGAAGTTTCAAACCCCAAGTGACAAACTAAAAGAATTATAGAATTTATTTATTTAAAGTAATTAATAAATTATAATTATATGTGTTACTGAGCATGCGCCTTAAAGATAATTTCATGTAAGCGAAATAGTCTCGCAACAGGATATCATTCAAGAAAAGTTTGGTTATAATAAACCACTTGTAGAAATAAACACTCGATAAACAAACTGACACAGTACAGCACCAAGAAAAACAATAAAAATACTTAGTAGAACTAGAAAATGCCAAGATTAAACAAAAGAAGAGAAAATACGCTAATGATGACAGAGATGATATATCAACAAGATCTCACCTAAGTATAAGGCTATTCTTCCCGAGCATGTGCCGTGTGGCTAATGTTAAATTCTGACTATATTTAAGTCTAGGGATATTCTTTTATAACCTTTTTTGTAAGTTTTAAGCTCATTAGTGTATCTATTTTACGAAATACATGTTGGTTGTTCTTAAATACCTACTTCTAAATCTTTATAAAAATAAATTAATTTGACGTTCATTTTTATAGTGCCTATGTAAATAGTACACAAGGATCAGATTTGGTCTGCACAATTTCCACAATGACAGTTTGTTCCGGGTTGCCTAAATATGTGACGTCACACTAAAAGAGTCCATTATAACAAAATTTTGGAAAATAAATTAACAATATTGTGCAAAACCATACTTATCGTATCAACTTCAACGTCACCTATTACGTGGGTGTTGTATAATACTGAAAACGTAATATTGACAGTTGGTAGAAGGAAGAGCAAAAACAAACGCTTAGGTGGGGAATTCTGGAAGGAAGCCTAAATAGTTGAAGTGAGAACAGTGTAGAGGTAGGAGTAAGAACAATATTTTTGACGAGAAATGCGAAAACCGATTTAATTTTACTTCAAAACTTACGGTATTAGTCAAGTAAATGCTGAAAATGTTGTCCGCCAACTTACATACAATGATACAGGTTGTCTTCAAACCGTTGTCGAACATTCTGGAGCACTTGCGGTGTTACTTCGCGACATACATTAATGATTCGTCCTCGCAGATCTTCCAAGGTATCAGGTGGAGTGCTGTAAACTTTGCTTTTAATGTGCCCCCAGAGAAAGAAATCTAAAGGATTTAAGTCGGTGACCGAGGGGGCCACTCAATTGCACCTCTTCGTCTTATCCAGCGTCCTGGAAACGTCTCATTTAGGTAATTGCGCACATTGAACGAGTAATGTGGAGGAGCTTCGTTTTGCTGGAAAATCAGTTCGTGTTCATTGTAAGCAGGATCGTCCTCTATGATATTTGTTAGAGCTGGGTCGATGACATTTTGTAGTAAATCCAAGTACATATCGCCTGTCAAATTTCCAGGAAAGAAAAAAGGACCTACAATGGAATTTCCAAAAATACCCGCCCATACATTCAACTTCTGGGGGTGTTGGGAGTGTGTCTCATGGAAAATCCTTGGATTGGTATCAGCCCAGTAACGACAATTATGGCGATTCACTAAACCATTCAAGAAGAACGTACACTCGTCCGAAAAACACACATTAAAGAGGAAATTATCGTTTATCGCTCGTTCAGTCATTATTTCGCAAAATTGCAAACGACGATCAGAATCGTCTTCATTTAGCTCTTGCACTAGCCGAATCTTATAAGGATGGAATTTGTATTTTTTTAATATTCGTTGGACACTTGTACGACTCACTCCTGTCGCAGTAGCCAATTGCATTGTACTCAGCGTACTATCCATTGCCACTTGCCCCAATACCGCAATTTCCTTAGGTTCATTTAGTACCGGATTTTCAACCTGCCTCTTTTTGTTATGAACAGAGCCAGTTTCGCGAAATTTGGCCACCAATTCGCGAACAATTTTTCTAGACGCATGTTTCTCAGGAAACGTTGGTTGAACAGTTCGGCGATCCGATTTCCGCATTCATTGTTTTTGAAAAAAAGCTCAATAATTTCTACTCTTTCTGGAATTGATACACCATAATTAATCAATTTAAAAGACTCGGCAGTATTGGTACTCTTCAACTACAAGTCACAAGACAGTTATCTAGCAACTTCTTGTGGCCTATCTAAATACGAAACAAAAAGCGGACAATTTTTTGCTCACCAAAATCAGGCTAAAGAATTCGCAAATCAGAAAAAAAAACAGCGAATTCTTTTGAAGGAATTTACCAAGCTAATACCATAAGTTTTGAAGTAAAATTAAATCGATTTTCGCATTTTTCGTCAAAAATATTGTTCGTATTTTCAAAGCTGCATATTTTCTAAAATAATGGATCGATTTTCAAAAAGTAAGAATCGATGTATAGAGAATTAAAAGCCCTTTCTAATGACCCCCCACTTGACCCACATTCCCATTTAAAAAAATTTGGGG